AAATGTAGGTTACTAAATAGACTCAGGCTTTGTTTGTGCTGCTGGCCTCTAATTGACGTTGCAGACTAAACAGAACAAACAGCAGATTACACCCTAAAGCGCTATGACGCCACAAGCCACGTAAGGACTAGCCAGTCCAATGACCGTATCTTATTTGATTTAATATCGAGGTAAGCAGCTCTTGAACCTGGAGCTGGCACAAGACACACAAACACGGTAAGGCACCCGATATACGCCAGTATACCCCGAGCCGCAAGTACAGCATGCAAGGATAAGAAGCCCCCATTCCGTAACCGCACCTACAAGGCTTATGATACTACTGCTACATACCCAAATTAATACATCGGGAGCCGATGCAGGTTGGATCCTGCGCCCCCTTGGGCCGCTCTTTCTGCTTCGTGAGTTGTGAAACATCATCTTGCCGTCCGTCGTAATTCTGTCTTCCATAAGCATTCGTCGTTCAAAGACAAACGCTGCATTCCCCTTATCCACCGGCTACGGAAAGAGAAGACGAAACAGCAACACCCAACCATCCCCCCTTCCCGGTGATCATCTCTAGAGGACATTATCGTCATAAAAACGGAAACACTCTACTACACTTCTTCGGCCGCGACAGATTCGTAACCGCCCGCTCTCCTCCGTCCTCTGTTCATGTTCATCAGGCTCGGGCTCTCGTACATGGCCGTGTAGTTGACGGGCTCGCCGCTCAAGATGGCAGAGCCGTTCTCGCGCTGGCCAAACATGGGCGCCGGGTCGCACCAGAAATCGCGGCAGTTGGCCATACAGCCGTTGGAGTAGGGGTTCTTCTTTCTCTTCTTGTTCTGGGTCGCGGCGCCGCGGCCGCGGATGGTCTCGATGAAGGGGTCGACACCCAGGAGGCGAGCCCACTGCTGGAGACGGCCGCCCTTGTGCTTGTGACCGTGGGCATGCCCATGACCACCAGCTCCATCGGGAGGCGTTAGGGACGGGTGGTTCGGGTCCAGAGGCGTACCGGTTGATGTGAAGGCGGAGGTGAGGGAGCCATCTTGGATGCCAAACATGTTCTCGTAGGTCGTCATCGCTCGAGAGACTTGTACAAACTGCACGAACAGAAGCATACCAACCCATGTAAGCTGGAGAGTAGTCCAGACGGTGAGGATTGCCGTATAGCCGTCAGCATTGACAACCCTGCAAAGCCCAGGGCTAAGGAAATTGCAGCTGTCTGAAGCCTTGTCAGAGATATTGGAGTAGTCTGATGTGATGTTAGCATCAAGGTCGAAGCACAGGCAGCGGGGGACTTGCAGTAGTAGACGAGGAAGTCGTAGGAGATAATGCCAAACGTCAAGCTGATAAGGTACAGGAAGAAATGGCGGTGGTTATTGACACCAACGCAGTTGTAGACCCAAGGGCAGTGGCTGTTCTGGTCAGCAATGTCCTCGACCAAAGGGTTCGCGTCAACTCACTGATCATGCTTTGCGACACACTTCTGGCACCGCCTGCAGTGCTTACTGCGGAGGGGTGTCCGGATCATGCACGTAACGCAAAAGTTGGTCTCGTCGAACTTCCACTCCTTCAGAAGCTCGTCGATGACGGCCTTTTGCTCGGCAATGCCGTTCATCTTGGGCACAAATCCCGGATCGTATCGCATGGCGGCGCTGTAGAAGTAGGCGCAGAGTCCGAGGAAAGTGCCGAAGACCAGGTTCAACCACCAGTGCGACCCGGTAGCGTCTAGATAATGTCAGCGCCGATCGAAGCACGCCCAGGGCTCTCCAATCATACCTGATGAGCCCGTTGTGCCAGGCATGATAGTGGTCAGCCATCTCAGGCCGACCCAGAACAGTGAAGCCGAAAAGATTCCGGCCAACCAGGGCTAAATCTTGTCAGCAGAGGTCCCGATACCAGCGATTCGGCGGCTACTTACGGTCTTGTGGAAGTGTCGCATATCAGGCGGCGCAAATTCAATGACCTGCTGGGCGCACCACTGCAGTCCGTAGCCGACAGCCACAGCAAAGAGCACGCCGGCAAAGACGGGTAAACTCCCCAGAATGGTAACCATGGACCAAACGAGGAGGAAGGGCCACAAGAACAAGAACCTGGTGACGAACCCCCTCTTGTCCTGGCGGAGGAAGGTCGCGCCGGGGAACTGCGGCTCGATGGGCTGACCATCCTCGTCGTAGCCGCACTCCTGCAGGGCCCTGTGCCACGCGCCGGCCGTGTTGAGTTCCTTGGCCGTCATGGCCGGGGTCTTGCCGGTCTCCGTCTTGGCGAACCGGTCGGCGCCGTACTCGATCAGCTTCTGTATGCAGGCGGGTGAACCCTTGACCAACGCCCAGTGCAGCGCGGTGAAGCCTTGCTCGTCGGTAGTGTGGACGCTGGCACCCCACCGGAGGAAGAGGTCGACGCATTGCGGAAAGCCCTTGTAGGCGGACCACATCAGCGCCGTGTGCCCGTAGCTATCGAGCACATCTACGGGTATGCCCTGGTGGAGGAGGAGGACGAGCAGGAGGGTGTTGCCGTTGAAGGTCGAGATGTGAAGGGTGTTGTAACCCTGGGCGTCGGTGATGAGGGGATCGGCTCCGTGCTGGAGGAGGAGGTTGACGGTATAGTAATGGCATCGTTGGGCGGCCCATTGCAGGGGTGTCGCGACGGACTCTCCTCCTTTCTTGTTGATTTCGGCGCCGTTGTCGATTAGGAACTTGCACATGGCATACTGATTGTTTATGGCGGCCCACTGTGAGCTGTTAGTACTATGCGATCAAAGGCTCAGTGCAAGCATGTAAGACGGCAACGTACATGCAAAGGTGTGATGCCTTCATCGTCAGTGAATGTCGCATCGTATTCTCCCGACTCAAAGAGCTTCTCCATGGCCGGTACGTCTCCCACCCGCGCAATCTGCATAATGTCGTTTTCGGCGGCCGGCGCATCGCCGCCAATGTTGCCCATTTCCAGCTCATTATTCAGCGTCGGCGCGGCGGCGCTCGTCTTGTTGGCCGGCTGGTTCGGGGCCACGGAGGGGGCAGCGGTGCCGCCTGGTGAGGTGGACTTGTCCATCGATGTCGGCTGTGGCAAGCCAGGCCTTGCGATGGGTCGGGTTTGAGGAGGTCGCGTAGACGCGACAAAGAGAGAGAGAGAGAGCTACGATAACGAAAAAAGCGGACGAAACGGAAGTGGTGTGCTCGGAGGATTACTGAGGCTCAAACCTAGCGACGCATTGCTTAAAGGTGGATTCGGACGGGGGGACGTCAACCAGATAGACAAGGTAGGATTGATAAACGAGAGGGCCACAATCGTCGCTAAGACAGAAAAAGGCGCCAAAAGCAAAGTAAGTGGACGGACGAGGTTGACGTGGTCGTCAGCAATCGAGCTCGGCAACGGTTGAGGACTGGGGGGGATTTAGAGGTGAGAAGGGGACTACCGGATACATACTTAGGATACGCTATCCCTAAATGGACTAGCGAGGCTGAGCTGACAAAGGACCAGCCCACCGACTGTCTGCCGTGCTAGCCGTGATTGGTGGGGTTGATAGCTAGCGCCCCAAAGCTTGGCACATGGACCCCGTCTAGTCGGGGGGTTCGACATCCCCAGCCTCATCATTAAAGTGGATCGGTTGTGGCTGAGGCCGTCGACGAATGGAAAAGGGAAAAAAAGCAAGCTCCACTGACGAACAAGTATCCGTAATGGGCGGCGATTTCTTCTGGAAATCTGTCAACGCGACCTCGACCCAGCATCGCCAAACCCCCCCCCCCCCCCTCCCCAGTCGTCCGTCCGTCCGTCCGCAGGGCATTCCTCCACAGGGGAGCAAAGCCATCGTTGCCTGCACACTGTCAGATCAACTCCTCCTCCGAACACCGCGACACACGAGTGACACCTGGTCGGTGGAAATCATGGCCGACAAAATGGGCTCTTTTGCCGACTTCTTCGAGCTCATCATGACCCCCTCCATGCCGGTCCTCGCCATCGGCGCCGCCATCGTTCTCCTCTTCCCCATCCTCCTGCACTACATCCTGATCAAGTCGACGCCCTACACGACCCTCCCCTCGGTCCTCCTGCTGGGCCCCGCCGGCGCTGGCAAGACGGCCCTCCTCACTCTCTTCGAGCGCGGCGACGCCCCCGCCGCCACGCACACGAGCCAGCGGCCCCAGACGGTCGAGCTCACGGCCTCGCGCGACAGCAAGACGGCCCATAGCTTCCGCAACCACGACGACACGAGCGGCACCCACACAAAGTTCCTTCTCGTCGACACCCCGGGCCACGGCAAGCTGCGCAACCACGCCATGGCCAAGCTCTCCGCCGCCGCCGCCGCCTCGGACAAGTCCAAGCTTAGGGCCATCCTCTTCGTGGTCGACGCCGCCGCCATCGGCGAGAACGAGGTCCTCGCCCCGACCGCCGGCTACCTCTACGACGTCCTCCTGGCCCTGCAGAAGCGCGCCACCTCGGGCAAGTCGTCCAAGCCCCCGGCGCCCGTGCCCGTCCTCGTCGCCGCCAACAAAACGGACCTCTTCACGGCGCTGCCCGCCACGCTGGTCAAGTCGAGCCTCGAAGCCGAGATCACCAGGATACGCTCGTCGCGCAGCAAGGGCCTGCTGGACTCGGGCGTCGGCATCGACGAAGTCGGCTCCGAGGAGCACGACGACTGGCTGGGCGCCTACGGCACGGAAAAGTTCACCTTTGACCAGCTGCGCGAATTCGACATCGACGTCGACGTCATTGCCGGCAACGTCACCGGGAGCGGCTCGGGGCCCGACAAGTGGTGGTCCTGGATCGCTCAGCGGGTATAGGGGAGGGGAGGGGGAAAAAGGCAAATAGTAATAATAATAATAAAAAAACACATCATCAGGTCCCGTCGATGAGGACATGGCCTAGCTCAGATGCGCCAAGGACAAAAAAGAAACTGCCATTGTGATTGCGATTGTGTGAATCTATGCTTTCAGGTCCAGAGCCGCCATGTTCTCCCCAATGCTGCTATCTCTGTTCCTTACTGGCTCGACGTGCTACCACGCCATGTTATAACAAGAAGCCTACTAGGCAATCATGCCTGGTCTCCAAAGTCCAACAAATCCAAGCCTACCAGTAGCCATTGGACTCTGTTTCTGCACCTCATGGGACAACCGATAGTTGAGAAACTTCCTATTGAGCCAATCGTAGGCATTCCGCCTCTGGCCCTCGAGGTCCTCGAACTCAACATGGTTGTTGGCTCGGAGGAAGAGGATTTGGCATATATACCCGCAGATGTTGAATGTTTCCCAAGCGTCGTTGGTGTCCTGCATCTTCTCCTCCAAGGGCCGGTTGAAATATTGGACGGCGAAGTCCTGGAGATGGCCGGCTGATGCCCTGTATGGCTCAGTCGCGATGGAGTCCAAGTCGAGACAGAAAAATCCCCATTCCGAACAGGCAGAAAACAATTTGGATGCTTCCTCAGCGTCATCGCTGAGCAACTTCTGCATGCTGATGACGCTGAGATTAGCTATGTCGTGGCTAGGGCCCTCGAAGCAAGCAGACTCCTCCATCTGGGACATTGTCATCGTCAATGACCGGAACAAGACGAACAGTCCGAAGTCGAGAGCATGACCAAACGTTTATATAGAGGATGTACCTTCTTCCCCTTCGACATCTTCTTAATCTTCAACTTTTCATGGTAAGGGAACTCGGCCAGCCAAAGAATGCTCCACCACGTACCTTAAGAGTACGTACGTCGGCACCAATAACACATAGAACCCTATTTAGGAAGGTGATTTGATCACGGACTAAACTAACGGGGCGTTCCGAGACCCACTTATTGTAACCTACTCTACTTACGCTTGCTGGATATTACTGAGAATATTAAATCCGCGGAGATAAGACGTTGAGGTTACTACCGTATCCTCTCAGTAAATTCGCCCATAGCTAATCCACGAGCTAACGGCAAGGGGTATTGCGGCCGCTGTAAGAGGTATAGTGTGCTGGCAAAAGCAGGGATCTAGAACGGCAAAAGCAGGGATTAGTCATTTACGTCAGCAGGAAGTTAAGGCGTCAGAACAGTAAATAAAGGGCAAGTGGGCAAGTTGGTGGATAAGTGGATAGGCTGACCGCTTTCCCTAATAGGTTTAGCGCCGCAAGCGGCCACTTTGCTCCTTGCCGTTAGCTCGTCAATTAGCTATGGGCGAATTTACTGAGAGGATACGGTATTTCTTCCCTTCACTATCAACATCTACCAAGAAGCCAAACTCTCAATACTTGGTGCAAGTGTATATTTGGCCAAGCTACAAGTACTTCAAGCTCAAAGAAACCGGACCAAACCTACCAAAATCGATTACGACGGCTACTGATTGGCAAGGTGCAATTCTCAAAGTCCCGGCTCTACGCACCAACAAATTGGATGACAATTCTACGCAAGGTATGGTTCAGCGGAAGCCTCTAGTCATGTGCTGCAAAGTATCTATCAGCACACTCCTCGTCTAAATTAATAACGTGTACTGTTAACTAACTAGTTCAAGGGATAAAGTACAACCAAAAAGGATTATTCAACAACTTCGTCAGTGTTCAGTGTTCTGTTCCAGGGTGACCAGGGTAAGGGCCACCTGCTTCTGTAGAAATACAAGACACTAGCACAAGTAAAATCCAGAGGGCCCAACTCCCAATCGCTCCCCGTTCTTCTCCAGGAGTACATGCCCCCAAGGGAGGTGTGCAATAAGCTGGTCCAGTTGTACCTACGAACATCTAAGTCGGTGTTCCAGGTGCTGCACGTTCCCTGTTTCCAGCATGACTATCTTCAGTACTAGAGCAACCCGCAGTCGGCTAGCGAGTCACTCGTTATACAGTTGCTTCTCGTCATAGCTATCAGAACCTGCTTCTACCAAGATGTCGTCGCCGCCGATGGCGCCACCACCCTGCGCTGCCAGGCAACGTACTAGATCTATGCTTGCCATGTGCGTCTCGCGTCCCCTTTTCAGAAGAAACACTTAAGCCTACGCCGCGTGCAGTCACAATGCCTACTGGTCATCGCGTTGCTGACCAACACAGACGTTGTCGGCGGAGATCTGGCCAGCATCAGCGTAGCGTCCCTCGTGCAGAGCACCATGGCCGTGGGCTTACACATCACGCTCAGCCAGCTGCCCGTCAACTCGTTGGAGGCCGAGGTCCGCCGACGGCACTGGGGCACTGGGCCACCATCCTTGAGCTGGTGGTTCAATGCAGTCTGGACTCGGGCACTCATCCCGTCATCGCGGCTGAGGCCCTGAACTGCAAGTTTCCCTCCAACCTCAACGACTCCCAAATCAGCGACTCAACTAAGACACTGCCCACGGGTCACCCAACAGGCACATTTACGCAGAGCTCCATCCAACACGTCTTGTTAAGGTCCCTGCCCATTCGGCTTCGAATAGCCGAGCTCCTGGGCCAGTACCAGGGCGAGATTCCCTACGACACGACCCTACGCCTAGGAGCCGAGCTCACCGCGGCCTGTCGCGAGAACTCCAATCTAATCGATTCGTTTTTTCGTCACCGTCAAACGGCAACAGCCCACCGATCAGGGCGTTCCAGATCAAGATACAGGACCTCCTAGTGAGGCGATTCCTCCTGCTATTCCACGCCTAGTTCGCGCACAAGGCCGCCAGCAACGTTGCCTACCACTTCTCGCGAACAGTATGCCAGAAGTACGCCCTGCCGCTGCTGTCGCCTCCCTCGTGCCAGGTCAGCGAACCGACAAGGCATCAAATAACCGCCGCTACCGACGACGGCTCTGATGACAACTACGACGACGTCGACACAGACACCGACACCGACGGGAGCGCCGCGCCGTGGTCATCGCTGCAGGACTTCCCAAGCCTGCAGTTGTTCGGCGGCGGCTTGTTTAAGAACACGTTGCTGGTCGCATCCCTCATTGTGTGCGCCGAGGTGTTGTAGCAGCTGCGCAAGGACTCGTCGCCGGTCATGTCGTCGCTGTTGCGCCGCAAGCTACTCCATGCCCTCGACTACGCCACAAGCCTAACACGCCGCCGCGTGATAGCCGGCAAATCTAGCGTCAAGGCCGCCGCCTTCTTCGCCTGTATGCACGTCTGCATCAGTGCTCGCCGCGCCTCGCAGAAGCACGCCCTCGTCGTCGCCGACACGGTGCGCACTGCCCTTGCCAAATGCTATGCCGCTCTTGAGGCACGCCTACGTGGGCCGATCGGCTCCGGCCTTGTATATGCCGGTGGCTCGGCCACGTCCAGCGTAGAACGACAGCTAGGTGACAGCGGCGATGGCTCGGACCCTTGGGACACCCTGCCTTGGGAGGACGACGCCGGCTTTTTATATCAAGTAGTGCGGGTGAAGAAGCATGTTTCGGGTTTCCAAATCGCCTTCAAGGCGGCAAAGATGACATTGGGATCAAGTCACAGTAGTTAGTTTAGCAAGAAACGCTCCTTTGACAGCCTGTTCATAATCAAAAGCTAACCGTGACTACACAACCTATTGGCCTAATACACATTGGTAAGATACGCAGAAACAACATAGTCCATGCTAAACGCATAGGCTTACTGCCTAGTATATTCTATATTCGTTCTTATGGGTAGGGTTACATACAAATGGGCCTTCTGAGATGCCTTGACGACAGGAAACCAAAAAGACTTGTCATTTTAACCTGGCTAGAACGAGAGCGGGAAGTAGATTCCGTTAAGGCAACGTGGTAAATCCAACATCACCCCTCCTCCCCGATATCAGAAACGCCGTCGCTTAATGCTTTGCAGTGACCGTATCGCCGGTCAGCTTCTCAACATACGTCTTGGCCCTATCACAGCATATGTTAGTAACTTGATCTCCTCCGTTCACCCAGAGCAAGACTCACATGTCACCCATGGCCACCATGCAGACCGTCTGCCACATACTCAGCCCGATGCGCGGGGTAACGCCGCGGTAAAGACCTTTGAGGCCATTGGTCTGGTAGATGTACTTGAAAGTGTTGCCCACCGTCATCTTCTTTGGGCGGTTGGGGTCTTCCTTCTTGCTCTGCATCTCAACACGGATGACCTCAATCGGCTGGTTCCAGGCTGAGAGGCCGCCGCCCAAAGCCGAGGCCGTGACTTTCTCAAAGGCGCTCAACTTCTCACCGCCATCCTTGTTGGTGACCTTGCGGATACCCTGCTCCGCAAGACGGCTGAGGCCGAAGCGCGCTCCCCAGTTGGTCATTTGGCGGATAGCGACAGCGTGAACACCCTTGTTGATGCCGCGGATGCCCTCTCGTCGAAAGATGTCCATAAAAGTGATCCAGATACCAGGGGCTTTCTGGCCTGACGCACTCATCTTGTGCTTGGTAATTTCGACTGTCTTCATGCAGGTACAGAAGCCCATGGTCGTGTATGCCTGCGACACACCGCCCACCACTCCGCCGATGATGCCGCCGCCGAACTCGCTGGCGCCCAGACTACGTGCGTAGTACTCGGCCTCGGAGGCAACGAAGAGCAGCACCGCGCCCTTGGTCGAAGCCTCTATCCAGGCCCACGGAATGAGACCCTGGTAAACTGGACGGATTCTCTTTCTTTTAGATCAGCAGGCGGTGATGCGGGAGAGAAGACACGTACAGCCCAGGACCCCCCCGCGGCTCCAGATGCGGCCCAAGGAGGTCGCGAACCCGTCGCCACGGTTGGCGGCCATGGTGGTCTTAATGACCTCCAGGGGCTGACCGAGGGTGGTGACCTCGAAGAGGTTGAGGCCGGCGCCGAGAAGCAGGTTGGAAAACTTGATGGGCTTCTTCTCCAGCTTCTGAGGCTGCGCCGGAACGGGGACGGTAGCGGCGGACATAGCTTGGCGGATCTTGCGCAGAAGGGGCCCTGACCAAGGGAAGAAAGATGATGCTTCTTGGTAGGCAAAAAGGGATTAGGGATGCACGTGGTTGAGTTGGAAAACAAAGTTGAAAGGATGGGTGTTTCCCCCCCTCCCTTTATCAAATCGAAGCGGAATTCCTAATCAGCGGTAAACAGATACATAAGAGATAGCTAGACGCGTATCTGCCGCCCCGGCAAGTTTCGGGTTACATTACCTTGGTTTGCCTAGGTATTAACTAACCGGCGAAACCCCCTGCCTCCCCAACATCACTCTTCTTGGCTGCTCAACGCAATATTTGTCAGATATAATAAGGTGACATGGGATAAGATAAGATGTAACATAGGCTTCCAATAAGAGATAAGAAGAGCACAAGACAGAAAAGTATAATACGACAGTAATCATTGATACACAGGAACTTTTGACAATTAAGGGTCTCAAACACTACTAATTACCTATGCCTACGCCCAACGGCCATCTACACGACGCTGAACTCTTATTGACACGAGACCGCAGATAACTAGAGATCGGTGCTGTCTGAGATCAGAAGGGCCGTTGTTGGACGGTTGGACCAGTCTACCACCCTTGCCAGCACAACCCTTCTTAGCCGAAAGCACAGCACATGGCAGGGATTAGATCGCCCACTGCTTCCATTGTTGAAATGGTTGTGCAAGGTTCAGTGAGGGGGTTCCATCTAATATCCCAAAGAAGACCGGGGGGCGGAAGGGGGTTCTTCCCGGCGCAAGCGGCGCTCCCGGACCCCAATTAATCATCTCCGACGGACTTTTCGACTTCCATCTTCTCATTCCTTTTCTCCCCTCAACAAATCCGAAGAATCCCCTCCCGAGAAACCTTCGACCCCTGAGCCCCTGGCAAGGGTTTTTAGAGAGAAACAAGACCGATGCCACACTACATTCAGCCCTTTTGGTCTTGGTTGCAATCCGACGCCGCGGGATTTTGCCTCTTGTGGTTTTCTCCACGGCGATCTGCCAATCTGAATGTACAATGGACGACTACTTACTGGGTCGGTCAATGCACAAACCGGCGACCTGCGGTCACGGATGAATCCAGCACCGTGTAGGGTAAGCCAGCGGCGTCCAGAGACAGTCCGAGCACATGGTGGCATTCGGGAGAAGCTTAGAGAACGATAGGACAAGAGTTTTCTTTTACGGCCCTCCACGCTACCTAACCTTTGGGAGGTTTGTCGCTATGTTGTTAAATACAGCAACAACGACAACAACCTAGTTGATGAGGACCCAACACGGCGTAAACAGTCTTCTGAGCTCGGAGCTAAGCCGGCACAGCGGCAATCTAGACACCGTTCTTGTGGACAGGGCTGACACGAATGATTGGCACGTAAAAACTGTTGACATCCCGATTCTCGATGGCCTTGAATCGGCGGGCAAACCTCGCGATGCAGTAACTCGCCTCAACAGTGGCCATGGTCTGCGCGGGACAGCGTCTGGGACCACCTCCAAAAGGCATAAAACTCCAGGACGGAGATAGTTTATACCAGCGTTCCGGCTTGAACTCATCGGTGTCCTCGCCCAACAGGTCCTTGTCCCGGAACATGATTACCTTGTCGGCCCGCACAGCGTCGCCCTTCTTGATGCAAATCGGCGATTTTCAGTCCTTGCCACCGCCCAGCGGAAGTGTGCTATCTTGGAGGCACGTGCGAGTCTGGGTGAGGTTGACGGGATACAACCGGTGCGCTGCCCGTATTAGTATGCTGAGCTCTCGGCATTTTCTGTCCACCCTTCGGTGCGAGGAAGCCAACGAGGGCATGGCAACGACTTACTCTCGTTCAGCACGGCGTCGAGATATTTCGTCGACCTCAGGCGCTCGTATGTTAGAGGTGCGTCCGGGCCGTGAGACATCACCTCCTTCCGGACTTTGGCATAGATATCGGCGCGGCGACCAAGGTTGCAAAATACGTTCCTAATAAGAATGGCAGTTGTGTCGTTGTTGGGGGCGAACAGGACCAGCATCTCGGACCGGAGCCGCTCCCTGTCCTCGCCAAAGTGCGGGACCATGAACCAGAGCAGATCCTTCCTCTCGGGTGTCTCCTCGACGACAGCCGTCGATTCTTTCCCGCTGCTGGCGACCTCGGCTGCTACCTGCTTCCGGGCCAAGTCTCCATACGCCTTATCGATGTGGCGGTTGATATAGTCGTGCACGACGTCAATGGCGTCGTACCACGCCTTGTGCCGGAAGAGCCAGAGCAACCTGACCATCATCAGGCGGAAGCGTAGGCCGCGTAGCACATCCGTCATGGCCCAGGCAAGTTTGGCGCGCTGAGGATGCAGGAGACAGCCGATGGGCTCGCCGAACATGAATTGGGTGGACGTGTCGAGGAACTGGTACGGCTCGGTGCTGATGAGATGAATGTCCCCGGTTTCCATTCAAAAACGACGGAATCTGCTACCGTTTGAGGCCTGTCGTATTTCGGAATCCGCCTTCGAAGGTGAGGACGTTTCCATGACGGGGTATACCACGTGAAGGGCGTTCCTCCAGAGATCAAGAGGAGCAATGTCGTTAGAGCAGGTGATACTAACGTGAAGTGCAACAACCAATCGCATTGCGGCTTATTACACCAGGACTATATTGCCAACCGAGCCCAGTTGATGCGACCCAAGATTCGTGCCTGCCACCCTGCTATATGCCCGCTTCCAAACGCCGATGCCCCGGACCACCGCCTTCTCCGTGTAGTCTTGTGTTTTGCTTCGTCTGATCTTGTAGTAGTTTCTTATTTCCTCGTCTCTTTTTTGTATTCTCTATCCCAAAAAAAAAAAAAAAAAAAAAAAAAAAAAAAAGCCAATCCGTCATTTCTATTGGAATTTAGGAGGGAGGGAAATAGTGTTTAGGCCTTCTTCTTGACAACCCAAGTGAGCAAATCGACCTTGGTGACGACGGCCACCGGCTTGGACAGGCCGCTGGAGCCCTCGGCCTTCTCGGTGACGATGGCGGCGCTGTTCCACTCGAGGAACTTGCTGAGGACGGAGAGCGGGGTGTCGAGGGTGATCTCGACAAAATTGCGCTTCTTCTTCTTGGTCTTGTCGCCGCTCTCGCCGGCCTGCCTGGGGTCCGTGACGACCTCGTCGAGGCGGCCAAAGTCGAACATGACATCGCTGACGGGGCTGGAGGCGGTGGCGCGGCCCGAGGAGATGTAGCTGAGCAGGTTGCCGAGCGTCACCAAACCGACGAGCTTGTTGCCGGCGGCGGACAGGACGGGGAGCTGATCAAAGCCCTTGTCGCGCATGATCTCGGATGCCTCGGCGCAGGGGCTCGTGGCGGAGACGGACATGACGGGCTTCAGGCGCAGGGCCCGGATGGTGGCGCCCTCGTAGGGGTCGTTGCCGGCGGCGGCGCCGGCGGGCTTCTCGGCGGCAGTGTTGGTGGTGGCGTGGGAGTCGTGGCCGTTGACCTCGGGGAGGAGGTCGTTGGCGGCGAGCCAGTCGTCGTCGGCGAACTTGGAGAGGTAGCTGCGGATGCTGTCGGGCAGGACGACGACGACGGTGTGGCCCTTGCCGAGGCCGAGGTCCTTCACGGCGCGGATCATGGCGGCCATGGCGGAGCCGGAGCTGCCGCCGACGAGCAGACCTTCCTCGGCGATGAGGCGGCGGGCGAGCTGGAAGGACTCGCGGTCCTCGGTCTTGTACCACTTGTCGACGAGGGGTCGGTCGAGGACGTCGGGGATGAAGTCGTAGCCGATGCCCTCGACCTTGTAGGACTCGTTCTCGTGCTCCTTGTTGAGGGACTCGGGCAGGGCGAGGATACTACCGTGGGGGTCGGCGGCGATGACCTTGACGTCCTTGTTGTGCTTGCGCAGGCCGCGGGCGATGCCGGTGATGGTGCCACCGGTGCCGGCGCCGGCGACGACAGCATCGACGCGGCCGCCGGTCTGGGCCCAGATCTCCTCTGCGGTGCCGTACTCGTGGGCGAGGGGGTTGTCGAGGTTGCCGTACTGGTCGAGGATGTGGGCGTTGGGGATCTCCTTCTCGAGGCGGCGGGCGACGCCGATGTGCGACTCGGGGCTGTCCCATGCGGCCTGGGTGGGGGTACGGATGATGGTGGCGCCGAGGGCGCGGAGGACGGAGACCTTTTCGGCGGACATCTTTTCGGGGAGGGTGATGATGGTCTTGTAGCCCTTGATGGCGCCGACGAGGGCCAGGCCGATGCCGCTGTGTTGTGTCAGTTTCTTGCGCCAAAAAGATGTTTTAGGAAGACATGGGGGAAGAAGTGCGTGCGTACGTGTTGCCACTGGTGGGCTCGATGAGGGTGTCGCCGGGCTTGATGCGGCCGGTCCTCTCAGCCTCCTCGATCATGCGCAGGGCGATTCTGTCCTTGACGCTGCCGCCGGCGTTAAAGAGCTCGACCTTGGCGTAGACCTCGGCCTCGATGCCCAGGCTCTGGGGGATCTTGTTGAGGCGCACGAGGGGCGTGTTGCCAATAAGGTCGGTGGCCGACTGAGTGGTAACGGCCATCCGGGTGGCGTTAATGGACTTGATGTCGCCCATGGTTGCGTATGAATGACTGGGTTGGGATTGAGGAGTGTTCGTTGAGAGGAGTAGAGGGGAAAGGGTTGCAGGAAAGAGGGGGAGAGAGGCAGAGAGGGAGAGGGAGAGGGAGGGAGGGAGTGAGAGAAGGAGAAAAGACGTAAAACGGTCAGGCCACGGACGTCATGTAGTAGTCTATGCGGTGCGACGGGTGGAAAAAAGAGAAACACAATCCGCTAGGTGGGATGGTGTGAGAATTGGAAAAAATGACCCCGCCAACGCCGAAGATATCCGTCCCAAGGGAGCGCCCTTGTCCATACAGGTGTTCGCCCACTGAGGGGCAGCATACGGCGACAGACAGGGTCCGGGTCGCTTACCTAATACATACAAACGTAGTGTAACTTTGCAGGGTTTTATTTTACCGCCCCCAGTCCAAGACTTTAATGCCTAGCCAGGTTCCGAGGTAAGTTTGTTACAACCCCCACGCTGTTGCGTAAGAGCGAGTGTACCATGGTACCAATCGATATACGAGTAAGATATCCGCTCCTTAGCACACCGTAATGTGGTTCGTTGCCCCCGGTGAATTTTCTGTTGTTTTTTTCTCTTGTTCTATTCTTCCTTCTGGAATCTTTCCCTCCCCCTTCTCTCTACGCTGTACGGAGTACGGGGACATTGGCGGTCCAAATGTGGCATGGCCAATATACATAGACTGCCCCACTCGCATGGCAGCTACAGGAGACCATGGCTGAGCTTAAGGACTGATACGTCCTCAAACCAAGCCGAGCATGAGCTTTGCTCAGAGTGTCTCTAACGGATATGTATAGATTGCAGACCCCAGGCGTAGGCAGCAGTCTTGCAGGGATCTACAGACCATTTTATTACCATTATAAAATGCCAATATTGCCCGTCTCCTCTGCAACATTGTCGCACATATTTTCGCACAATCAGTCTGGCTGCAGTGTGTTCTTACAGTGCAGAAACAATCAGGCTATCGCTTCCCCGGTCCTCATTAGCGTACTTGCTCAATCTCCTAAGCTGATTAATACCTTTCCCCTTTCAAATGTCACTCGACAAGAAGTCAAAATAGAAAAAGCTTCTGGCTCAATTGAGAGAGCTCTCTCCAGATAATTCGGCTGAGGACATCATAACCTTATTATATGCCAGGCGCCGTGGCAACAAGAGACAGCCAAGTCGTATCTGCGGTAACCTCTTCTCGTATCATTACGCTTCAGACCAGAAAGTCAACTTAGGCAAAGAAGTCATCACAATCTCAGTCACCAACCTTGCCCATTTCCTGTCCAAGCATAACGTGTTAACGTTCACCCAAGATCTTTCCTGCTTCAAGAAGGCTAAGAAGTCTTTAAAGAATAAGGAGATTCCGCAATCGTGATCAGACTATCTCAGAGAATGGAGCAAGACAAGTGCAGCCTTAGGATTGGACTTCTTCTACTGTGGTACGTTTGACAAGAGCGGGTAACGTATCTCTCTGCTAATGACATAAATTTAGAAATTCGAGACGCACAGGCGAATCCAAGAAAGCGAGGAAATGACACCACAACCCCTCAACCAAAGAGGCAACGCGTAGTTCCACCGGGCGGTGATAATGACACCGTAGTTGTGAGTTGTCCGTCAACCGAAAAAGCTGGCGATCCTAGCCCAAACGCGGCTGAGCATTCAGACGAAGCTGGAACAAAATACGCTGGACGGCCCAGTTCCAATGGTTCTCTGACTATCTCGGCAAACGCGAAAACGAACAATGGGACAATAATAGATGTGCCTGGGCCGAGAGCTGTGTCCAACCAGCAGACTCAGCCCGTCATTCATTCTGCCCCCGCAGAAAGCAGCCAAACTCGCTCGGATGGCCACCAGAATCAGCCTGACGACAGCGCGGCTATGAGTTTGAAGGCTCAGAAGAAGATCATGACAGCAACCCTTTCCCGATGCTATGTGGCTGTTTACCACGTCCATATGTTTGCGGAATTCAAGTTCGCGGACGATGTCACTGAGAAAGTGGCGTCGCAAATCTAGTTATGGATATGAGCGATATGGAACTGACTAGCCAGAGGGAAGGACAGGTTGCTGACCAATGAGGCCCTACTGTTCAAATCATGGCCTTTGCTGATGGTGCTCTACCCCTTTATCCCTCAACCCATCCCTCTGTCGTATTTCCTATGAACTCCGCCAAAGACCCCTTCCATAAAGATGCCGTGCACTGACTGCACGTTCATCACTTTGACTTCTTATTTCGTTGTTGCGTGTCGGTTTCGGAGTTGATATCCTGCAGGTTGATGTAATTTCTTAGTGGTGATGAGCCGACTCTTTCCCCTGAATGTCCCCCCTGCGTTTTGTGTTTGCGTTGGAGAGTATATAAGGGCAGCAACACGCTAGACCTAGCCTAGGCGTCCGGCAGCCTCTACAGGGCATCTATAAGCATAGAAACGTACCTATACATAACATTAGACCACAAAAGCCTGCTTACCTGGGTCCACTTGGCCCTAGCCGACTCGCCCGACCCAACCCTGGGCAGGTTCTGGCTTAACATAATGAACAAGAAGCTCTTCCTTAACATCCTTTAGTAAAACGTCCATCCTATGCGCTATACTATAAGTAACACAAGAGATCTATAGGCGTTAAATATACTGGTAAAATAGCTTATAGATTACCTTAGAGAAGCGCTTATAGCTTTAATAAGGTATACGTTTAGTAGAGGACCTAGGAGGCTATACTAGAACAAGGACTATAGGTAGAAACACTAAGCCTATATAGCCAAGAGAGCAACTATAGTAAGACTTTACACTCTAGGAGTAGAATATTAGTAGGAGTAAAACAAGGAGGACACCCTAAAGTAGGACTTTCTTTATTAGCTATAGTGCTCTAAGGACGCTTACTAAAGAGGAAAGATTACTACAGCTTCTACTAGCAAAGACGTGTTTAAAATAGTTAGGTAGCATAAGGCTAAGGGATCCTTTTAGACCCCCCTACTCTAAGATAGGAGCAGTCTAACTACGCTTATCTTACATCCAAAGAAGAAGCAGGATCTATTCGCCTACGCTCTCCTTAGAAATACTGCTATCTCTACAGATATATTAGCAGTAGGCCTAGGACCTTACCTAGAGGCTATCAATCTTCTGTTCCTATATATTATAAAAGACAAGGTATAAACGTCTATTTTCTCTGCGGGAAGCACTACTCCTAGGTCTGATAGAATCATAACTGCTGTTCTTAAGACAGCATAGCCTATTATTAAGGACATCATCTTCTTGCTGACATATGGCGAAAGCAAGCATTGATTTTCTGCTAGGCTCTGCAAAGGGAGCCTCCCTTCTATGCGAATGGATGGAGGCGACTAATTTCTTCTCTGAAATCTGCCTGAGTCACTGGAACAATGAACAGGAACGTTAGGTGAAGACGGGGGCCTGTAAAATAGTTTAGACTAGGATAGACCATGTCGGCATTGCCCGGCACGTCCCTCTTCGCTCTGGACGTTAAATACATCATCATCATCATCATCATCATTGACAAAGAAGCTATACGAGCTACCTCTACGACCCTTGACCACCCGACTGATCACCGAGTGATCAACAGACTAGCAAGCCAGCATTACTGTTACCGAGTATCGACCTCAGCTATACTATTAGTGGAAACCCTACTGTCGGATTACTGACCGTAACATAGTGGTTGCTAACTAAGGACTGAGACAGGCTAACGGCGGTGTAGTGTTTGCAGGAACACCGGTCATAATGCGCGAACATGTCAATTGGCTAAAAAGAATTCCTGAAGAAGAGGATCTTGAGTAGTGTGAACTGAATTTATTTGTTGAATGTTGCAAATGTGCTGTGGTCGCGGTTGGGTAGGCAGCCCGCTTATGAAGCACGTTAAGACATGCCCTTAAACATACTAATAGTGTGCTAGACCTATTCACGCGTGGATTGTTAAGTTTTGTTGCCTTAGAGACCAAGAGGTAGTGTAGACTTTTATTAATTCTCTGAGAGAATCTAGCGATCTATTTAGAGAGTACGATGTATTAGATCTAGGTTCCTCTTGTAGACTTCCATCCTATTTTGTAGACTATAAGGTCCATTCAAACTTTTTAGATCTTGTAGATGGTGAGTCTTAACCCCGATGACGATTTAGAGGCTGTAAAGAATCTGCTGGAACGCAATCCCTCCCCAGTAATCAAACAGAACTCCTGCAGGCAGACGCCCATTCACCTGGCCGTCTTTTCAGCCAATGTTTTAATGCGTCAGACCATCCTCTCCGTCAGCAATGCCGAGCAGATCAAATGCCGAGTAATTGCTTGGCCTTGCCTACGAGGGGTGATCTCATATGGGCAAGACGGCTGACTACCAGTTGCCGCAATTTGATTGGTAATCTGGGCTTTGCAATAGTAACGGCGTCGGGCCGCTCTTTAATAATCCAGGAAATGTCTTGCATATCTGTTGCCTTGTTTCGGTGTGTATTGAGTAAGGTCTCAACCTTTGATTGAAAAATCTCGTCGAGACGTACAGCATATACTGAAGCTGACTTCTGATCGCTTGTTTGAAAATGAGTTTGTTGAACGATATCCTCTACTTTTGCCTTTTCCCAAACTTTTGAGAGACCTGAACTTTATAATTAGACCCATTAGAAGGTTAGACTGTGATGATTACGTACCTGGGATATTGAAATCCACCTGGAATATTTCATTCTTCCATTTATAGTAAGCTCGCATGTTTCTTGTCTTCGCGTACACCTCCTCTGAAGGAACAATGAAATTTGGGTCCGCCTTAAGCCGTTTTCTGAGTTCTTGGATACTTGTTTGAAGTAAAACATCAATGTCTGCTGTCTGACGATTAGGTTCCCCATAGGCTATTAGGGCCAAACCACCGAATATGCCCCACGGAATGTCCTCGCCAAGGACCCGTCCGATCACTTGTGTCATGTGTATGAGGTCATTAATATTCTTCGGGTGAGCCTCCGAGTTTGCCCGAAGCCGTATCCCTTCCTCTTCATCGTAGAAGCCTTTGGCGATATTCCGAGTAACTAGATGCCCCTGCTTGAAAATAGGCGATGGCTTTCTAGCACGGACTCCTTGGCCGACTTGCTTGGGCAGCAAAGACTTACAGCCTTGGAGTCCAATGCTAGATTGGTGGCATTGTCGTACTGGAACCGTAAGTCCTAGGGCTACAGCAGCTAGTAGCCACAAAGCAAAAAGGGGTTTAACAAAGAAACGCATAATGAGAGAGTGTAAAAACTAGCAGCTTAAGTAGTGAGAGAGTAGCTATAAGGGAACCAGTATGTAAAGCTTCAGCTTAGGATTGGGGCCATTTATATAAAAGTGATTAAGGTAACTAATAGTATATTAGTATACAAGTCTTCTCAACCGAATCGGCCTGTGCTGGTATGTTCCAACCCACATCTGCTCTCCGACCCACAAGTTATCTCCTACGCCCGAAAACGAGATAGACAAGTCAGCCCCACTAGGAGCTAAGAACACAGGCGGCACAGCCTTTGTACAAATGGAGTGACCAGGGTCGGTATTTCTATGTGTCATAGGCGGGAGGCCCGGTCCGTAAGAACTACCGCTTTGCCTAAGCAGGACTAACTGATTACACAAACAATATAAGCACACCACTAGAGGCCCACTAGGGGCCTGCTAACGCACTACCTTACTTAGAGCTTTACTCCAGCCAACAAGGGAGCTAAACTGTCACAATATATAAGCTACTATTACTGCCCACGTAACTAACGGTACCGTTTTATTACGTGACAGTTATAAGCCCAGCTCCTACCTGCTATATGCCATAATGTTATATGCGTTAATTTCAGTGCAGTAACTGGCTATAGATCTTAAGCACAGTAGGTTTAATTCCTATAAGGGTCAGTCCCCTGGTCAAAAATCCTACTAAAGTCTATATAGATCTTCACCACCTATGATTGGCGAGATGTACCTAACTAGGTTTTCATCAAAAGTGTGTTCAGATCGGACTTTCTAGGTCTAATCAGGGGTGTGTGTCACAATATATAAGATACTATTACTGCCTACGTAACTAACGGTACCGTTTTGTTACAGGACATAAACCTTGGCCGACCACACTTACATACATGGTGGTAGGGGCAAGTAAAAGCTCCTCGTGACGTTACGCCCCATAGCTGACATCGTTATTGAGGGGGAATATTCACCAACGGAGTAGGGGGGCAAACATTGGACACCTAACAGGGAGCTTTTACTTCGGCCTCATACCATAGTACCTAGATTAATTACTACTAGAATGGGCCATGGGCAGATGAGGACTATGGTAAAGTACGGTGACCCCCGGGGAGCGGGGGTTGCCTAACCTGACCTTATCAGGAGGTTTAAAAATAGGTCTACCTGAGTAACTTTCTAATTATCTGTTGACTGAGGGACTGGGTCTACTTAACAGAGAATTAACATAGAATAGGACTATCCCTTTAGTTGCGAAATGACCTCCTTATCCTCTGGGTGGACCTATTCCCACTTTTACCTCTTACTTTCGGAGATACATGATAATACATTGTTCTAGAATGTTATTTCATTAGTAACTACTACTAATTTCAACATTTTCACTAACATTGTTATTAGAACTACAATATCTTTTTACTTATATACCTCTATTTATAGTACTATTTACGTAAAGGTCTAGCAGGAGGACCTAACTATTACCTATCTAAATAAGTTCATCCTAGAGTAGTGTAATAACGCTCTTGTAAAGGACCTAATAGGGCTACTTAGACTATAATATACTGTTATATAAAGGTAGAGATTGCTAGTACCTTTGGCATAGGCAAAACGCTATACAAAAAGAAGTACCTTAAAACTATTAGCTTTTGGCGTTAATTACTGTGACCTAATTTGCTCCTACCCCTCACGGAGGATAATGAGGTCATTTTGTAACTAAAGGGATAGTCGGTAGCAGTTAACAGACAGACACTTTGTAGGTCAAACCTTAGCATCTCAGACTATCTCAAAGTACTAACCTACCTCCTCTTAAGTCACTTCTATTGTCCCTATACTACTAACTTCAAATCCTTAACTCCTAAGTTAAGAGACTTCAAGAGGTACTTTGATGACTCAAGTGCTGCCCTGCAAAGTGTCTGCCTGTTAACCGCTACCCAATAATTCAATCTGAATCTATTCAAAGTTGATTCTAGATTGATTCATAATATATTTCGAAAGGGTTGAGAAGAAATTCACCTACGCTTTGGCCATAGATATGCAAACTCGCACTCTTGTAAACGTCGCTTGGGGCCCGGAGGAGCCTGCTTTTGCTGAATACGCTGACTCCGTCCGTACTCACCGCCGAAGCGGCATTACCGAGGGAGCCTCGGGCCCCTCATGGATGTGGACCACCTGATACCTTAGAATCCCGACCTGCGAAGACGTGGTCCGGTGTTCATGGCGCTAGGTGGGGCTAGTAAGCCAGTGGGCGAATCTGTTAGCAGACTATCAGGCCGACCAGTGTATCCATCGGCATTGCCGGTATCACCAGTTGGCATGGTATTGTCCTGTGACAACTACTATGACCACTATCACGCCTCTTGAAGATATAAGACAGTGATATTCTTTCTTTAAGTAACTTTTTTCAACTTTCAGCTAATCAGATTATTGCTGCCTAATCGCTTAGACTGTATCTTCATTCTTCCCAATTCCCTATTCTGAATCTTTGCGCGATAGAGGCAGAATACAATCTTTATCTCCATTCTCCCTAATTCCTCATTCTAAATATCTCCGCTATGTACATAGTCCTCTTCCTTTGGTTAGCCGTTGGATTTACGTAAGTTATGCCCCAACATATAAGTCAAGCAATTAGACTTACAGTGTAACCAGATTCAGTAACGGCCAACCTCTTAACGAGCCCAAGTCCCACTTCTGGGACTGGTACAGCCCATACTACCCGGTGCCGTCAGAAATCGACCCTGCTGTACCTGCAGGCTGCAAGGTCACCTTCGTACAAGTTCTAAGCAGGCATGCTTCCAGATATCCCAAGCTACCTGAGATGGAACGTGCTAAGGCACTTCTCGCTCGTATTCGGTCCGAAGCCTCCGGTCATATCCGGCCTGGAGTCTCTAATCGCGATAGTCTGAAGATCCTGATGTCCAACGATTTGATACCCCACGAGTTTGAAAAGCTTACACCATATGGCAAGAAAGAAGCCATAGACTCTGGTAGATCGTTTTTTAAACGGTACCAGGCTCTTGCCGCTGACAACGACCCATTCATGAGAAGCATTGACGAGGACCGCGTGATTGAGACAGCCTCTCTTTGGAAGAAAGGATTCTATCAATCAAAGGGTCAGGACGACTCAAAATATCCAGACGACAGGCGCATGCAGATTATACCTACGACAAAAGGCTTCAACAATTCGCTACATTACGGTGGTTGTCCAGCTTTTGACAGGACTGTTTCTAAAATCCACACAGAAACGGCGATGCAGTGGATGAACCGAAATTTTAAGCTCATTATAGCGCGGCTAAACCGGGAGCTACCAGGGATACATCTCACACCTGCTGACGTCCAACGGTTAATGAGGCTATGTCCAACAAACACAGTAATCAACGGCATAGAGTCAAAAGTTTGTAAACTCTTTACAACAGAGGAGTTTCAGGACACTGAATATGGCAACACCATCGGCCAATATTATTCATGGGGTCCAGGTAACCCATTGGGTGTAACCCAAGGGGTGGGCTTTACTAATGAGCTTATTGCGCGGTTAACGGGGAAACCAGTAGTCGACCACACATCAACAAACACAACGCTTACTCAGGATCCAGCAACATTCCCACTTGACAAGAAGATATATGCTGACTTTTCCCGGAGTAACGTATTAGTATCTATATACAGTGCAATGGGGTTATTTGATGAATCACAGCCTCTAAGTAAGACAAAGATGACACCGCTAGCAAAATCCGGGGGTTTCACGATGAGTAGGCTGATTCCGTTTGGATCTCGCATGTATGTAGAGAAGCTCAAGTGTAGTGACGAAACGGAGGAGTTAGTCAGGGTGCTGATTAACAACCGGGTGATGCCGCTATCTAGGTGCGGCGTTGACAGACACGGCCGGTGCAAGCTGGGGAACTTTGTGGAAAGCTTGAGATTTGCAAGGACTGGGGGGGACTGGGATAGATGCTTTTCCTAGGCAGACTGGGATAAATGCTTTTCCTAGGTAATTAGGATGGGCAAGTAGCAGGGAATATGAGACTAGCAATTAGAAAGGCTTATTGTGCAGAGAGAGCTAGACACAAGTGCTAGGCAGTGTGCAAGTTACAAGCGGCCGGTCGCACGATGCAGGCACACTGGTGACTTATTTATTCGTGCTTATAATACACAGTAGAGCAGCTGAGCGAGACTAAAGGGAAGCTATTAAATGAGACTATTATGAACTATATTGTGACAGATCAATACACCCCATTAGGGTGGCCAAGCACCGATACCGTGTTAGCCTCTATAGGACGACTATAGCCTCTGTCTTTGTTATGTGCTTTACTGAAGAATGATCTAAAGAGGAGGAGCTCTACAACGGTACACTGCTTCGCAGTATCAAGTTAAGTTGAGTTGAGTTGTATTTCTGCTTGGATATAGCTGCTATGTTACTTCGTAGCCATGCCTGGTTGGCTGTGTTTGGCAGACAGCCTTCAAGTCTTAGGAGGAGAGCGGATTGGTACACAGTACGTAATACAATACTTGCAAAGCTAACGATTGGCCAAGGATCCTTTGCACCGGGAATTTTGCATGTAATGTAGAGTCAATATAACGAGATTATGCATTGCAAGAGTGAAAAGAGCAACGCTATGGAGCTGTTATTGATGACCAATTCTGGCTTGGGTTGAAGCTGTACTACTATGAGCAAGGGCCAATTCGCTGGATAAGTAAGCTAATACTGGCTTTGTTCCTCATGCACGCACTAGGCTCAAAACTACAAGACAGCAGAGTTAGATCTAGTATGTCTATCAATCTATAGACATAAATAGTTATAAACACATTATTCTAAATAAACTAAATATATTTATTGCCTCTGCTTAAAGTAGGCCTTATAGTTACAGCTACCTTCCTAGGGAAATTCGTCCCTGAATTTCTAGGTAGGTAAAAGTAAGTGGGCGTCCTCTGAAAGGCACACCAGCACCCCTAACCAGCCGGCTCGCTGGAGGCCTAGATCTATAGCCCTGTCCCTTCTTGGGCAGTTACAGCACTTATGCTCTCTGACTGGCTTCTTAGCCCTCTGGCTGGCAACAGCACTTACGCTCTTTCTGGCTGGCTTATTAGCCTGTTGGCTGGAAAACTCTGATCTGGCAGGCCTACTCAGGGCTAGCAGCACTTACGCTCTCTGGCTGGCTAGAGAATCTCCATGTGGGTCCCTGCTCTTGAGGGGCCCATATGCACAGTGGGACAGCCTGCCGATATGAAACGGCATATAGGTTCGGCAATGTAGCAGTAATGAGTGTGGACTGAGTTTAGGCTTCTGTGAGTAATGACTGTGATTTGTTATGTAAACGAGCGTATAACCCAGCAACCAGTGGCACAGTGAGACCGACTCTCGTGATTCTCCCTTGAAGACCTAGGTATACGGGCTGTATTCTCCATCAGCAATGGCCACCAGGTCAGTGGTACGAAGCTTACCGTCTGAGATGATGGAAGGAAGAGACACGGTGATTCGGTTGTAGGTGGTGTAAAGGCAGTGTGACGCCCACCGTCAATTAAGGCTATGTTGTGGAAATGGGATATTCAGATTTGCCGAGTTATCTCCTTGGTGTTCCTTAACACTGAGGTCATGACAGGTACAATGAAGTTGCTGGTTCGGGCTGGGCAGGAAATAGAGATCCACAAGCACAACTCGTAGATTATCTTATCATGTTGCAATGCTCCACATAATGGCTCTTGTAGACAGATGTAGCGTGGTCGCTGCCAGGGTATCCCAGTCTCGCCATGTGCCTGAGCAATCCCAGGTACTCCGTACTGATTTTGCAATCTTCTTACCGTAGACACTCGCGAGATTGAGAAAGCGCTAATTAGAAGGCTAACTGTTAGAGGTAGTAGGCTAGCTTATTCCAGCTAGCATACATCTGATTAGAAAGCGGTCAGCTACTTGACCCCACCTACCTTCTTGCCAGCCAGCCAGCCAGCCAGTCCATCCAACCTATTCAGCCCATCTAGATCCCTGTCTCTGCCAGCAGACTATACCCCTTGCAGCGGCCGTCAAAGCGGCTGCCATACCTGCCACAGGCGCACTACCCACACAGGTACTCTCCACTACGGGTACGTACTATGTACTCTTAGGAGTATTTAACCCACTACGTAGGCAGTTAGTTAGCAAATCAACCTTGATGATACACATACAGTACCAGGTCATTAATCTGGTCACACTATTAAGGGTCACATGATGTCTACCCCACATTTTACAAGGCTACGTAAAACCGTAGTCATATTATTATAGTGTAAACTCCAGCCAAAATAGATGTTTCTAATATCGTGTATACCAGCCACGTACTTTAATACATTCAGTAATCCTATCTTGGATGGAGTCTATTAACCTCCAGGTAAGTATTGGAGGTAGAGCCCTATATACCTCAATTAATTGCCTCTGAAGCTCTTGTCGCGATGCATTCAGACTAACATGTGGTAACCTTAGGCAGAAGGGAAAGTGGGCCTGGCGGAGGAATCCTGATGTATTAATTGGCTAGATATTCTGGTGTGACCAGATTAATGACCTGGCACTGTACATGTTGACCCACCTTTGGTGAGCCCTGCCAATACCCCTTGCCGATTAGCGTTTTATCAATCTCGCGAGGGTCTACGGTATAATGCCGAGAATGTAACCTATTCCCTGTAAACTCGGTCCCTCGCATGCGCCGCCAACTCGTCCGCGATCCGGCCGAATCTCGCTCGAGAACTCATCTGCTGCACAACCACCATCGCCAAAAAGCAGCCCAATGAGGAATTTCTGCACTCACTCGTCCGCCCGCAGTGGTCCGTGATAGAGCTTTAAATACAACATGTGAATGATGTATAGCTGATGTCTCTTGGCATTCAGGTTTCCAGACATTGAAATCATCTCTGGTATTCATCCCTTTTGCACTGGCGTTCAATGAGCAGCATTTGCCCTTCCCGTCAGTCTCGTCAGTACAAGTGTAAGCGACGATGGCCCAGCCTTCCAACTCGTCTCCCAAGAGGCATATCGTCATTCTCGGTGGCTCTTATGGCGGCATCTCAACGGCGCACTACCTCCTCAGGCACGTCCTGCCGAGACTGCCACGCCCCGAGGATTACCAGGCGGTTCTCGTCAGTCCTTCGGCCGAAGCCATGTGTCGGCAGGCATGTCCTCGAGCGTTGATATCCGACGACATGTTCCCGCAACACAAGCTGTTTGTCGGCATCTCCTCCATGTTCGAGTCGTATGCCCAAGGTACTTTTTCCTTCCTCCATGGAACAGCAACGGCACTGGACCACGTTGACCGCACCGTGACCATCAACATGGCAGGCGACAAAGGTGTCAAGACACTCGATTATCACGCAGTAGTCATTGCCACTGGTACATCGACGCCTTCATCTCTGCTAGGTCTCAACTCCGCTCCGGAAGACCTACGCCAGAGCTGGGCTGTCTTCCGAAAGGCCCTCCCAGCTGCGAAAAGCATCGTCATCGCCGGCGGAGGCCCGGCGGGCGTTGAGACCGCGGGCGAACTCGGTGAACACCTCAACGGTCGGTTACGCCGGCCGCAGAGTTCCCGGGGGGTCCCGAAAGTCACCATCACGCTCGTGACCTCAGCGCCCGAGATCCTCCCTGCGCTCCGCCCGGCCATTGCGCGCAAAGCGGAGGGCTACCTCGCCCAGGTTGGTGTCACCGTTCGCAAGGGCGTCCGGGTCACCAGCGTGCGCCCTGCGGCGGCCGGGGCGGACGAGGTAGCAGCAACGGCGGCCGTCACCCTCGACAGCGGAGAGACGCTCGACGCGGACCTCTACATCCCGACGACGGGCACCAGGCCGAACACGGGCTTCATCGACGCTGGCCTGCTCCTCCCGGACGGCAGGGTAAACACTAACTCCTCGACCCTCCGCGTCGACCCAGCCGGGCCCCGGGCCTACGCCGTCGGCGACGCGTCCTCCTACGCTGGACCCGCCGTACACAACATACTGGCCGCCGTTCCGGTTCTGTGCACCAACCTCAGGCGCGACCTCCTCCTGGCATCGGAGAGCCCGGAGCGGGCAGAAGGTCAGGACAGGCTGTTTACGGAAGACCCTCGTGAGAACCATCTGGTCCCAGTTGGCAGGAGGAAAGGAGTCGGCGCCGTAATGGGTTATCAACTGCCCAGCTTCCTGGTATACATGATCAAGGGTCGGGATTACTGGCTTTGGACGACGGGGAACCTCTGGAGCGGCAAGCAATGGGCCAAGGAGTCGTGAAGGTGGTGAGGACCAATTCCGCGGGCCCATCCGAAATCCGATTGCCGTAAGTTAAGCATCATGATAGGGCGTAGGTTCAGCTTGTCGGTTGGTATGCTTTTTTGCTTTTTTCTTTTTTGACAAGGAGTCTCTGCAATTCTAGAAATTTATAATTCAGACATCTGTCTCACTTCCGATCATAGCGCACACTTCACCCAGCTCTATACGAAAGTTCCAGTGATGATAGTTAAGTATTACTCCGTATGATTTCAAGAATGCCAGCATCAAATATCAGAAAGTGAGCATTGGAATCCTCTATAATCTTCACAATTGACTCATTGGGGCATCTGCAATGCTACTTCTCTGCTCACGTATATTCCAGTATTACATGGGGATGCCGAATTATGCTGCCCGTCTGTTGATGGCTGAGACTGAGCCAACAGCCGCTCTAGGGACCTTATCTTACCTCTAATCTCCAATCCCAGCAGCATGTCCACATGATTCCCCCCGGGTACGGTGTGCCCGAGGGATCACGCCCAAGACTCTCGCCATATTGTGTGGCTGGCCTCAGCCCCTCCTAATCACCGAACACCTGCATGACAAGAAAGATAGCCCACGTTGAGTATTTTCCTTAGGGTTATTTTTCTGTAGTAGGCATTATAGTACTGTTTACTAGCCTAGCCAGCTGGGCTATGTGGCGATATTACATAACAGGGGGTATTTAACTTACCCCTACCACCCTGTAGTAGCTAGGGGTAGATATGAGGTGGATATATATAATCGTAATGTGTGAGTGATCGGAAAGTGGGTGCTTTGACTTACTCTAAAATTATCAACAAGTGTTGAATAGACTCTTGTACATGCATGTACTTCTCAAAACGTAAGGGTAAATTAACTTCTTATTAGGTAACTAAACAGGTCTACTCTAGTGTTATCGTATAAGCAGTTATATACTGCCTAAGTATGACTTGAGTCATTCCGGCTAACTACAAAGTATAATCCCCTCCTGACATAACCGAGGGCCGAGTATCCAGTCTGTGCCCTTTGAACTTGAATCATAAACCATTCATGGTTGACTGACTAGGTGTTGTATAATCATTAGTATTGATATTCTAACAACAAGTGTCTTTCTTTATACAAATAAGACCAAAAGACGTGACTAAGAAATACAGACAACATACTAAGTAGGACAAGATAGTGTTAAGTTTGATCAATTTGTATAGGTCTATCTATCTATTTATTGTTGTGCTGTCTGTAATAGTACGGGTAGTGTTAGCGTGGGCTATCTCTTTTATCATGCGGGTGCCGAGCTGATGGTCACGAATAGCTAAATAGGGTTAGTATGTCTCAATCCTACTTCAATCATACGTCGGCCAACGAGCGTAGGTCAAGCCATCGTATAGCTCCGCTGATATTAGTAGTTTGGTGTCGGATTCGCTGGCCATCTTGTTGTCTCTTGGGAGAACGAGCGGCTTCAGCCCTGAATTGGCTCGACAAGATACCGGTTCGCAAGGTCGCGTGTGGAGATAACGTGTCCGATACATAGGCTATTCGCCATTTCGCCTGAGGCAATATCACATGTGGGAATTCGGATCATTATATATATAACTCTCTTCCTCGTGGCGCTACTGGTGGCAAAATGTCGTATTCGAACCAGGAAAGCTACAGTCGTCGTACCATCTTTAACTACTCGACAAAATTTTACCCGCAGCCATGCCTCGTATCCAAGACTTTGAGGGTATGCAATGCTCTCGCACCGGCGATGAGCTCGAACAGCAAGATTATGCATTCTTTAACCAGCAGTATGCCACCTCTTCGTACCAAGAGGAGCATAACATGAACCCGGACCTCATCGTCCGTCCCAAACATGATCAAGACGTCATCAGGGCAGTCAACTGGGCCCGTGAGAACAAGGTCGCTGTGGCTGTGAAGAGCGGCGGTCACCAGTACAGCGGCGCATCGTCCACGGGCGGCAGTAACATACAGCTCGATCTGAACGACACCTACAAAGACCTGATGATTATACGGCCCAAGGACCCCATTGCGGAGGACAAGGCGCTCGTCTATATTGGCGTTAGCACCACCATGATGGGCCTTAACAAGTACCTCACGCATAACAAGCTCTTCGTTCCCACCGGGCAATGTGCCTTTGTCGGCGTGGGTGGCCACGGTCAGACTGGCGGCTACGGACAGCTCGGCCGCAGCTTTGGCCTCTTCGGCGACCATATCAAGACCGTCCGGCTTGTCTGCCACGATGGTATCATCCGTGACATCACCAAGGCCAACGACCCAGAAGTGTTCTATGCTCTGCTCGGCGGCAGCCCTGGTAATTTCGGAATCATCACACATTATGTTGTTGAGGTGTACAAGTCTAAGAGTTACCTTGACACTGTTTCTGGACCCAACAACTTCAAGGGCCCCCACGGAATCAAGGCCTTCTGGATCTATAGCAAAGAAGTCCTCACCCGCCTCCTCACCACCGTCGCTGCAACGGCTGACGATCCCACTTTCCCACGTGGCTTCAACCTATGCGTTAGCGTTGTTAGCATGGACTTCCCTATGGCAACGCTGTTCAAGGACCTCAACGACGGGACCGTCTGGGACCGTATCTAGGACAAGATCAGGCACATTCTCAAGGACAAATTCCTCAAGTTGCTCAACAGCAAGGTTCCCGTGTCCATCATCCTGTATGCCTAGTGGTGCCTGACTAACAAGGGCGACAAGGACGACGCAAGTGTCGACGCCTGGTTCGCCAAGTTCCGGGAACTTAAGGGGCTGCTGGAGAACGAAACCCTCCAGTTCAACGAGTTCGACATGGAAATGTCCGACATGACTGGCCAATGGCTCTTCCCAAAGGCGCGCAAGTTCGACCTGCCCTACGTCAAACGCACCTACGCGACCAAGTCGACGACGCTGGGCAAGGACAAGTGGGTCGACGCCGTGGTCAACCGCATCGATCTCATCTACAGCCCCGAGCACTTCCTCCAGGAGGTGGCCGGCGAGAACGGCTTCGAGCGCTACATGCGGTGCAAGCTCTCCGTGCAGATCCAGTGCTTCGGCGGCAAAAACTCGCGCTTTTGCACCAACAGGGACAACGGGACCTCGTACAGCTGGAGGGACTCGTCCGTCTTGCAGACCCTGGACTGCTTCCACAACCCGGACGAGGAATCCAAGAAGTATGCGCAGGCGTGGCAGGCCAAGAACCACGCCGTCATGACCGGGCCGCAGAGCCCTTTCAGCAAACAGGACAGACGCGTGTTGTGGGGTTCCTACGGGGACTGGAAGATGGCCGATGAGAAGATCTGGAGGACGTACTACGAGGACGAGGCCAAGTACAAGCGGCTTGGTAAAGCCAGGGCTAAAGCTGATCCCAACGGCACGTTCACCGCGAACCCTTTTGCAGTCACCGCGGTTCGCGATTAAAACAGATGGTAGTGGATATCACCATGGAGACTTGTAAGTGGTGTCTGTATGCGTTCTAGGCCGACCCTCAAAAGATTGAACTACTGATACTTCGGAACCTTCGGTCACATTCAACTTCGCGTGCTTTCTAGCTTTCTAGGACTAAACAAGACAGTTCTATACTATCTAATCAAATCTCGCTCACTCTATGAAGCCGCCATCCTTAGGGCAAGAATTTTACCCATGTCTGGGGTGCCGAGCCCCGTGGCCGCATCCCAGCCCGCAGCCGCCGGCCAGCTCGCGTTCGGCACGATCTTCGCCCCGGAATCTGGCGAGAGCTTCTGGGTCCCAAAGCCGGCCAACCCGGTGCACCCAACAGACTGGCCGACGGAGACGTCGTTGAGGGCCTGAGCCCCGGCGCCGTACAGCCACGGGTTGATGAACCCCATCGGCGGCTTCCCCGCCTGGATCAGCGCCGCGTTCACCAAGCCGACCAGGCCGGCCCATATCGGCGCCGAGGCGCTCGTGCCCTGGAACCCGGCCAACGCGCCCTTGGTAGCGAACGTGAGGTTGAAGCTCTGCGCGCTGACGTCCGGGAAACCGCGGCCCGCCGGGTTGAACAGCCCGCTGAACCGGGCGCCGATGGTGCCGTTGAGGTACCCCGCGGCCGCCGCCTGCTGGTAGGCCGGCCGCGCGAACTTGTCCGAGAACCCGCCGCTCGAGAAGTCGGCCGTCCGCTCCGGCGCGATGCCGCGCACGCCGCCGACGCCGGTGACGAAGGGGCAGGACGCGGGGAACACGGCGTTGAACCTCGTGCTGTTTGTTCCGTCGTTCGTGACGCACGTGTTCCCTGGCCCGGCGTCGCCCGACGCGGCGAACATGGTGACGCCCCGGGCGCCGAGGGCGCCGAACTGGTTGCAGATCTGCCGGGCGTAGCCGTCGGGCAGGGACTGCTCGTTCTCGCCGAAGCTCGTCGTGATGGTGTGCGGGAGCTGGTCGTCGGGCAGCTTCAGCATGGCGTCCAGCCAGATCAGCCAGGGCTCGGTTGAGTCCCCCGGCTGGTTCCCCAGCTCCGGCTGGATGGGCCCCTGCCCCGCGACGGCGGTCTCGATGTTCGGCACAGGGTTGGACAGAGAGGCGGCGTACTGGATGTCGAAGTTCAGTTCATCGTTGGACAAGGTGTTCTGGTTCTGGTCCGTCGTCCCGCCGTTGATGCTCAGAAAGGAAAAGTTCACGCCCTGGGAGGGTGGGTCGACCTTCTGGGCGAAGAGGGCGAAATCGGAAAACTTGGCGACCTGGCTCTGAGAGCCGTATACCCCGAGACCCCGGGCCTTGCTGACGTTCAGGTTTGCGGGGATGTTATACAGAGTCCTGATGCAACTGGGCGTGATGGTCCTATTGCATGTGGGATCAATTTGTCCGGCCTGGGCGCTCGGTGGAGGCACAGCATCCACCTGCGATGTGAACATGATGTTGGGGCTCAGTCCCGCAAATGACCTCCTGTGCTTTCGAAGCTCGTCGCTGGTTTGGTGCATCATGGGATGCGAGCAGAACCTCGTAGTGGGAGTTATCAACGAGATCATGCTCTTTAAATCCTGTGGCAGCGAATATTGCAACGTCCGCAGGACCTCCTTGCCGCTGTCCCGGTGCCGGAACCATGCGTAGTCCGCATCCAGAAGCTTATCGGCCTCCCTCACCGTCGTTTCCAACCGGACCCAGTGGCTGTCGCTGACAACATCCGCGGGGTCCGCGTCTGTCTGCTCGAGGAGCCAGCTCACGATGGCATCACGGGCTTCGTGATCCGGATTGAGCAGCGCTTGTGCCTCATCCCGTGATAAGTGCTTGCCATAGAGCTCATGGCCAGGTGTCGAGACGCTGTAGAGGGCTCGCTCCACGTGGAGGCTCTTATCAACCGCGATTGAAAGATTGAATATATGGCTCGGGTCTGCGGGCCGAGAACGTATCCAATCCGATGGCGGAGTGCTGGAATATTCCACCTTTACTAGGTCACGCCGCGATACATGGGCGAAGGTGAGGTAGAAAGAAAGAGAAATAAGGGTGGCAGAAAGCGACCACATCCTCACTATATAGGTTGCTCCCCGTCATGCGGTAGTTGCTGATCACTATGGAAAATGAATAAAATTGTATAACAGATCAAAAAGTCAAGGATCATCGCCAAGAAGTACGCCAAGCGAGCAAGACATTGGCAGTTTATAGGCGACAGAGCCGAGTTGAATCCAGCGATAACTGGACGTCGGCGAGGTTTACCTAGGGGGCAAAGCATTACTGAAACCTCGTGGATGCAGCCGCACTCCCTTGGTTCATATGAAACTTGAACAGACCTGACGTTGCCGGCCTGATATCACCCCAAAAACGCGCTTCAGTTTGAAATCCACGTACTAGCGTGGGGCCTTCTCCTGAGCGTGTACGCTAATCAGCTATAGTTGCAATGTTTCATATGTGTGGTAATGGCATTTCCGAGTCATTCGGTCTTCATCTAACATGGCCAGGGTCAGCCTGTTGACAATCCTCACAGGGCCGGTTCACGTATCCGAGAACAGCAGAAAAGAAGGTTCCTTAACATTTTATATGAGCAGATTGAGAATATGATAAGAGCGTATCAGCGCAAAGTAAACATAAATATGGCTTGATCGGAGGGAAGTGGCACAGCTCAGTGGTAAGATTTACCGCTAGTGGATCAACCGACCCGGACGATCACCTCTTAGAGTTTTCCCAGAAAGGACCATGCTACAAGTCCTGAGATTCCTTCATTTACACGATTCAATCCTTTCGTTTTGCTCCCTCTCTTTCGGCCAAGTGCCCGGCAAGTACGGAGGAGCCCGTCAATAGTATTGTCCTAGAATGCCAAGACCACCCTATGTCAAGTGGCAAGGATAATTGCAGGGGCGCACACCAAAAGCAATTGTAGCCAGCATTTTACACCACCAAGAGCCCTATTGCCAGCCCTGTTACCAGGCCTTTACAGTGGTAGCCCGGTCGACTTACTAGGGCCCTAGTTCGGAAAAGGAAGATGGTTAATCCAGCAAGTTTAATTGGCCAGATTCTGGTTCAAGTGGGCTCAAACCTATGGGGCAGTCTTGGCATTCTAGGACAATACTATTGACGGGCTCCTCCGTACTGTCATCAGAGCGATGGGAGTCGCTGATAGGGCATTTGGGATCAGGATAGTATCAACCTTTGGTCCATAGAGAGCAGTGGTTGCATGGACCCCGGTTAAAAGTATGTCATGGCTCTCGACAGACATCACTGCGCTTTGAGATTGGGTACAACTTCGCAAACATTACCCACTACCTAGAGAAGCATGCGTTTGATATTAAGGAAAATTCTCGATTAAGATTATTAGCTCAACATGGTGATGATGACGAGGCTTCCTCGCCGCAATAAACCCGTCGGCAGCGTCTACTTCGGAGTGGAGAAACACCCCAGAAAAGTCTACTAGTTTCTTCGGGCGAAAAACCTTGGTTCATTCATCTCCATACCCCATCCAGTCTACGTCCTCGGCGGACCAGTCGGCTATCAAGCGCAGAGGAGCGCTGCGCCGGGGCACTGACTTTTATTCAGAGGAGACAAGCTGATGACGCTAAATAGTGCAGCGGACGTCGATGCAAAAATCAAGATCTTTCTTGGCTAGACACCGCTATATTATCGTAGAAGTATAACATAAGCTTAACAGCGACATACAATAAGTCTAGGCTCACCACACAATATACCACTTTGAATAGGTGAGCCCAGACTTATTATGTCACTGTACTTCATTGGATTGCATACAACCCCTTCGCAATACTTGGGGAGGAGTCGCAATACATCATCAAAGGATACTCAGTATAATGTGTATGCTTGAAGCATGCACGAAAGCAAGACAGGACATGGGAGTGAAGATATGCGCGGCATAGTATATAAGTTCACAAAGAGGAGTTCAACTGGGGATTGACGACTTCGATAACTAAAGGGGTTGCCAGTGCCGTGTTTGATGCTGCGAGGAGAGATTGACCTGGGCAGCGATCGTGAAGTCTAAACTGAGAACCCCAAACACAGTTGCCACCTTTCATATAGAACCTCCCGAAAACAACATCACAAGAAAAAACAACAGACAAAAGGGGAGGGACAACTCGAGCCCATATAATTACCCCTCAACAAAAGCCGCAGTCTCTGTCTTCGTCGTCTCCCAGGTTGTCTATAAGCAGGGTCGCCCAGGTCAAGGAGATGCCAGGGACCCATTGCATCAGCACCAGCGGCGGAGGCCGAAAACGACGCTTGCCAAGTCGGATCAGGGAATGAGACAGAATAAAACTGCGGGTCTATGGTGACGGGGGATGGGTTCTGGATGCCGCGAGCTAACTAATCACAGCCATCCCTTAGTCTCTCAGCCAATCCAGGGATCTGCATCCGTAGGGATGCCAGCGATAGACTTTTCTAATGGACTCTTTGCGGAATAGCACCAATACGTCGGGCGGAATACGCGGATTCTGAACCCACCACGTGATAGGGATTCTTCACTCACCCTCTAAACCATAGTTCGCAATAGATGTTGCTGAAAGGATCTCTATCTTTAGCATGACATCTCAGCCTATGTAAGTTTCTTTCGACATACATGAATTACCCCTAGTTATCGACTCGATTTATCTTGCCCCGTCCAACGCAATTACAGCCCGTCCGTCGCCGGGATACCACCGCCCGCTGCGCTGCGTCCCGCAAGGTCTGGGTGAAACTATCCGCGCCATCCGACCGCTTCCCACGAAGCCGGTAGAAGCCACGCTCTTCGAGCCATGGCTGAAACGTCGTCCGCCGACAATGTCGGCATCGTCGGTCGGGTCAGGAGCGCGTCCATCTCCATCTTGAACGCGAACCCCCAACTGGGCATGTGGCAGGCGGCCGGCACGGCGATCGCGCATGCGCCCAGCCTCACGGAGCTCCGCGACCCTGACTCGGGCGGCGACAACATCGCCTTCACCTCTCAGGGCCACTCGGCACGCCACGCCGTCCAGGAGCCCAAGGGCGACTTGGCGCTCGTCAAGCCCGTCGCCGGGCGGCGCGCGTCGACCTTCTCTGACGACGGGCGGCCCGGGTTCCGTAACGTGTTTGGCGACAAGTCCGGCAGGATCAGGGAGGCCGAGGAGCAGCCCGTGTCGGCCGAAACATTGGACGAGGCGCCGCCCAGGACGCCGCATGAGAGCCAGCGACCCAGCGAAGGCCAGCACTTCCGGCGGCGCCAAAGCCTACATGAGAAACACATGGCCAAGGAGAAGGCGCCATGGAAGACGACAATCACCAACGGCCTGAAAGCATTTTGGAAATTCTTCCTCACGCCTTCGGGCTTCATCATCACGATTTACTGCCTGAACATCGTGGTAAGTCCCACACCTCGGCCTCCCCCCGGCTTGCATTGTTCAACTTCACTTTGCTAACACAGCCGACAATATAGGGTTGGGGAGTGAGTGCATCTGAAATAGCAGACAGCCCGAGGCCGCCATACTGACTAGTCGCTCCCAGGCCATGCTCTTCTTCCTGCTCCTCAAAGCCGCCCCGGCAATGAACTACCCCACCGCCGATGACGACAACTCGCCCCGGAAGAAGTGGCTCGAGATCAGCAGCCAGATCCTCAACGCGCTCTTCTGCGTCACGGGCTTCGGCCTCGCGCCCTGGCGGTTCCGCGACCTGTACCTCTACGTCCGGGCCGTCAACTTCAAGAGCCGGGCGGCCATGCTGAAGCTCGCCGCGCAGAACAGGGGCTGGTTCCGGCCGCCCGCGTGGGCTGTCGATGCCGACAAGGCGTCGCCCGAGACGTTCACGGGCCAGGCCGCGCCGCCTACGGCGCTCTGGAAGCTCGGCTTCACCATCTGGATGATGGTGCTCAACACGTTCCTGCAGGCTGTGCTGTGCTACTTCATGTGGGGATACAACCGGCTTGATCGACCTGTAAGTGACCGGAGCGCGAGCGCGCCTAGAGTCCAGCTACACCCCCCCCCCCCCTCCCCTCCCCACCATCGTGCTGGAAACGGCTGACGCGGCTGCTAGTCATGGGCCACTGGCACCTTCATTGGCATGGGATGCGGGGTTGCTATGCTTGCTGGGCTGATGTCGTGGTGGGAAGGGCGCAAGGTCAAGAAGATTGAAGGCCCGGAAGTGGAGATTGTCCAAGAGGTATAGACCGTTCATATGCCCCAGGCATGGGCCCCAAGGACGCGAGCGCGTGTAGAAGAGACTGAGTACAACTTTTGTCATGCTCAGCAGCAAGCGAATCGGAAAACCGGATAATTTTACAGGCGAGCGCTTATTGGTTGCGCTGACAAAGATGCGCCATATACTCATCCTCGCTATCCGATCTGCGATGAATAGGCCTGCAGGAGAAACATAACCCCTGCATATCGAACATACATGTGTTTGTTTCAACAATTTCAAACGTTCAAAAAGTTTATATGCAAAGGCACGTCTGTACCACGAGAAAACACCCCCTACTCCCTCCCCCCCACGTAATGAGGATGGCACCAGTGGGGATATCAAAAAGAACTTGCAGCCTGCCTTTGAGACATAGGCCAATGTTAGTACCTGTCGATAGCGTAGGCTTGTGCATTTGCCACCGTCCAATCGTTATGCGGGACTTGGCCTTAATAGTCATGCGCCGCTTTCACCGTCCACCCGCCCTGCGCTCCCTCGCTCATCTGCAACACCGCCGGGCCTTTCGTTAACCTCTAAACAGGAGCGGGGACACACATCGTTTCCCTTTGCTGAAGTGAAGAAAGATGCCGCTGTCTCAGCTGTCGCTGTCGCTCGCGATCCTGGCCTCCACGGCCGGGACCTACGCCAGCCTGCGCAACCCCAACCCGGAACCGTCCTCCCCGAGGCCGGGCCGCTCGTCCAGGCCGCCGAAGCACGCGGACTCGATCCGCTGGATGAACCTCACCCACCGGCACGCACCCAAGTTCATTCTCCTCCCGCTCGCCTTCATGTCCCTCCACCTCGCCGCCCTCGCCCTCTACTATCCGGACATCCCGCCGGCCATCCTCCGCCACGGCGCCGAGAACGGTCTCAGCGCCGCCCTGACGACCTGGTCGCCCTCGACCGTCCTGCCGCTCGCCCTCATCTTCGGCGTCGGCATCCCGCTCCGCCTCGGGCCCTACCGCTCGCTCGGCAAGAACTTCACCTTCCAGCTCTCGCGCCCCGACAAGCTCAAGACCACGGGCATCTACGCCCACGTCCAGCACCCGAGCTACACGGGCGTCGTCGTCCTCATGCTGTCCAACGTCGCCCTGCTGGCCCGGCCCGACGGCGTCCTGGGCTGCTGGATCCCGCCCCCCGTTCACCGCGGCCTGCGCGCCATCGAGTGGATCCTCGGCCCCGCCGCCTGCTCCGTCTTCCTGTTGGGCGTGTGGACGAGGGTGCGGGAGGAGGAGCGCATGCTCAAGGCCGAGTTCGGGGACAAGTGGGAGCGGTGGCACGCCTCGACGGCGCGCTTCATTCCCTACGTTTTATGAGCACGTGGTTTCGTGCGGCCGGTGCTCTAGAGCCCCACAAGAGTTTCCAGGCTGCTGAGGAGGTGAACCTGGTGCATCGGTAGTGGGCTTCGACCCATGGTGGCAGACTAGACTTGAAAACGCAGCTTATTTTGCTTCACGCTCATAGACAATGATGGCCACTTTATTTATTCATTTTGTCCCTTTTTTTTTTTCTTGCAGTTCAGAAGGAACGATTCTGTAACCATTTCTTCTGGTTATTCAAACTCTACCGGCAGTCTCTGTGATCATCATGTCTTCCTCTCTTTCTCTATTACTGCGCTGATCGGGTCTACGCGGGATATCTGACTCAAGGCTGCATCTGGGATCCAGCCAACCACTCTATAAGTTCCACCCCAAAATGGAGCCTATCCGGCCAATCCGCGGTATCTGCAACACATGATTCTCCACTGCAGGGCTCTGCCCTCACTGCTCATCTTGGTTATTCGATCTATGCTCCCAGTTCATTATCAATCAATCAAGGCAAGATGGCCGAGCGGTCTAAGGCGCTAGCTTCAGGTGCTAGTCAAGTAATTGGCGTGGGTTCGAATCCCACTCTTGTCATCTCATAAGCTCCCTCTGAGGAGTTATCTTTTTGTTTCTAGTATGTTTTGTGGGTGGCTTCGAGGTTTGGGCTCCAGGACAGCCTGGGCGGGATGTGTGGTCAAGATTGCGCAGGGCATCTGGCCTTGGAGATTCAGTTGCCTCTGTGGAAGGGAAATTTGGTAAACGCGGAGGGCGTGTGACGCCTGCGGAAGTTGATAAGAGAGACTCAGGTACCATGGCAATCGAGGGGTTTCAACAGCCTGTGTGACGCTCAACGTTCGGTGACGTCGTCAACACGCCGCCTGATCAACCCCCAAAGACCACCGGTTGATTTCAAAGGGGACCCCCCCGGAAGCGTTTCAGGATTCGTTAACACGCCCGCGTGGTATGATCGACTGCGCTAGGCCAAGAACCCCGAATGCACGGAGCCGTGCCGGATGGGTAGAAAAGTGGACACCCGTCCCGCCCTCGAGCCCGATATGATAAGTCTTTCGGATCCGGTAGCGATTCCGCAATATTACAACAGAGAAGACCTTGGCCGCGCTCCCGTTGACAAAATTCTTCAATACCTCGCATCTGCCATGACTGATGCGGATGTCCGTTAGATATCATGGGCAAATGAAAATACATCAGCACAAAATGCTACCTCAACCGTTGGCGGGTTTTATAGGGTTTAAACTTGCATAGGACCGCATGATTATCATAGTCCTTGAGAGCCGCACATCAAAGTTTCAGAAAGACTGAGATCATCATTTCATCATAGATGTCTGTTTTGCCGCCTCCCCATAGCTTTCCCCAAACCCCAACCGAGGAGATCTCCGACCAAAAGCCAAGGACCCAAACTGGGTCTTGACACCACACAGATCATCGTAGAGTACCGGTGTCGCGGGACGTCTTATCGGCGAGACGCCATCGTCAGATTTCCGGATAACATTATGGCTTTCAGGATTACAGCCTCCAAACGAGCGCGGTTTGTGGTGCGGCTCGACAGGGTCAATGATGTCGAGGGGGGACGAACGAGTTTCTCGATAGCCTCAAACCAAGCAATGATCCCGGCCTCGTAGCTCTAGAATACAATCATGTTATGGTAGGCATCTACTTATATCGTCAAGTCCAACTCAGAGAAGGCGCTGCCTGTGACGACGCAGGGCATATTTAATCTTTCCTTTGCACCGCCTTGGGGATTCAAGTATACCATCAACATCAACTCCCCAATGGACTACTGGCCAGCCGGGCCTTGCAGCCTCGTCAAACACGTTATTCCCATCCTCGATCTTCTTGAGCGCGTGTGTGAGAGAGGGACGAAGACGGCAAAGACCATGTACGGTTGCGGAGGGTGGTGTGTGCACCACAACACGGACATCTGTGGGGACACGGACCTTCGACCCTATGGCCTCCTGGGGAGTATGGGTTCGTGTTGACGTGTTGGATATACTTCGATACCACCACTGGGACGAGAACCTCCACAAACGAGCGGTGGTGGTCTTGGAGGGCTGCACTGTCTTTCTTCTCAACTTCCTGATACCGTCAGCATGTGGAGAGCGGGTGTCGGACATACGGGATGGAGTCGAGCTTGGCCGCTCAACCGTTACGCCAGGTTGCTGGATGCCGAGGGCTGTGATCAACGCAGGGACGTGTCGCTGAAGAACTCAGCATTGCAGAATATGCTCGACAAGATCGGCTGGGCCGCGTCGTTCGTGTGGCGGAACGGCGGCCTCGTCGAACCTATCATGGTAGAGAGTCTTGCCACTAAGAATGCTGAGGCTCATATTATTTGTTTTTTCCCGCCCAACAATTCCGGGACTATTCTGTGTGGCGTCGCACTCACGTCCAAGCTTCAAATTGGTGGCCACGTATAGGTCGGTCAGTCTCTCTCTTCGAGGATATCGCAACCACGTTCATAATGGGGGCAATGAGACCTGAAGAAGCCGAGATTACCTTGAAAGAGCTATGGCGCCGAGGAGTGTCGTTGGCATCATCTTGTGCTGATCCGAGCGCATTCCTGCTGTTGATGCCTGGGTATTTTGAGAGGATCGGAATACGAGCGCTCATGCCACAGAGTTGCGCAAGCTCAGTGCTCGAATCTAATGCTCATGTGGAAAGAGACCCGGACCCCTAATTTCCCATACTTATTCCGACATTTTTAGGCGACGGAGATTTCGGTGCATGTAGTGAAGGGACGTTGACTGCCGGGCGCAAAAAAGCACCCTTTCAGTCAAGGAGCCATAGCTGCGATAGACGGTATCAAAACCTCTGGGCGTCAGGATGTGGATGTGTCCAGAGGTTGCATCAGAAGCGATATGAGGACGGAGGGTGAGGATCTGTATCTGCGACGGCTGCGACGATCGCGGGCCGCTCAGAAATGGCCGACCAAAACAAAGCGCGTGGCAGTCAAACGGAGCTCCCTGCTAGAGAATCTCCCGCGCAGATTAATCAAACTGTCAGCACTGTGTATTTCCGAAATCGGCTTGCATCAGAGGATGACCAACCCAGTGCACCATGTGGGAAAGAAGTTGAGATTTGTTCAGCGTCCACGGCCATGAGACTGATGACTTAAAAAAAAAAAAAAAAGGTCTCATGTGGACCAGGATTCGGGTGCTTAGCGCTTGGCATCCGACACATGGCATCTGGTATTTTCTTTTTCCGCCCGCTGTTTCTCGGTTTGTCTTTGTTTTTGTTTTTCGGTGTTTTTTTTTTTTTTCTTCCTTTCTCTCCCCCTTCTTCGCGAGATTGGGTACTGCGAACACTCCCGCGGTGCTTCTTGGACCAGGTATTGACGCAAGGCACGACGAAAGCGGTGTCGGCTCTGTGCAATGTAATGCAGACGGCCCTGGACCGGCTTACAGGACCAAGCTTATGAACGGCGACGACGGGATACAAGGGGACAAAGTGGAGCGAGAAAGGGACAGTGCATTGCATGAACCGGAAGTTGGGATGGGCATGGTTAGGTGGTGGAATCAGCCCGGGAGAGGCCCTGCTCGTCGCCGTTGCCGTCCGAGGTTGGATTTGGGCTGGGCTGGGTTGAGGTCGTGCCGTTTTGTGTTGTTACATGCGCCAGAGTACCTATCCATCCCTATATCCATGGTTCATTGATGAATCAATGATACGTCGTCATCCGTGGCTGGGACGGTTTCGTTGAAGTGTATGTTTGCAGAGAGCCGTAAAGGCCACGCGCTTGATTCGACAAAGCCAGACAGAATGCGATGGCGGGTTGCTTTGCTGGATCGTCGCCTAGCTGAAGCGTCATCTTGTTCGACTTCTTCTTCTAGCGCGCTGAAGAGTCATAGTACCTAGTAGTTGCATGGCGGCGGCGCATCGTAGGAGGCCACGCCACCCCTCCCCCGCTGCGGTATCCACAACTGCCGACCTGATACAGGTTTCTTCGTCGTTGGCGTATTGAAGGCGCACCGAAGACAGCGATACAAGGTGATTGAAGCTCGGTCGTTTTTCTTTCTGTGGGTGTGGGTGTGTGGACGGGGATGTAGATTTCATCCACGATAGTATCCGTACGTTGCGTTTACGCAGGTAGAGTCATCAGTCACGCAGTCAGGAAGAGGAGGGGCAGCAGACAGCGCAGCAGCTGATGGGATGAGACACGGGGTGTGGCGGTACGTACCTGGCACCTTCCTCTGTTGCATCTTGCGTCTGTGTCGCGGCTGCTCCTGCTGTCGAACAAAGGCAGCAGCGCTCTTTCCGTCACTCTGAGTGGTCCTTCCCAATCGTGATGGGTGATTACATAACGTTTTCCAGCCACTTTCCTTGGGTTGCCCGTGGTAGCAGACTATCCCCGATCGGGTAAGGCGGCACTGCCACGACAAGGGGCGACAGGGGGCAACCCGCAACAGCAACAGCACCGCACACGCCTGACCGACATCAACATTGATTGCACCGACCCGACCTTTCCCTTTCCTGCTTTCCCGTCCCAGCCATGCCCAGCAGTCCTTACTAGTCGATCCCGTCCCGTCCCTGAAGTGCGTCCGCGACATCGACATCGGCGTGTGCGATGTTCTTTACCGCCGACATCTCGACACCGACGACGACGACGACGACACCGACGACGACGAGACGACAAATCTGACAAGACGACAACCAGCGACCAGCGACCATCGGCCCTGACACCCCGGTCCGTCAGGTAAGTCTTCGCCCACCACCGAATCGACCACGACAGCCACATCGCCCATATCGAGCACGACAACAAACGACGCGACAACTCGAGCATTCTATTCTGGTCGGCTCCTGCTCTTTCTTCGAGTTCCTGTCTTTCCACGCCTTGTTACGACATATCCAACTGCCAAAACAACAGCAACAAGGCTTTGGAGTCGGTGTGTGCCCCCCCCCCCTCCGCTTCGGCTGTTTTCCTCGATCGCACCGGGTTCTGGACCACAACGGAACTGACGACGACTTGACAGCACACTTCTTCACGACTCTTACGATCACTGTTATCGACTACTACAAGTTTCATTTGTATTCATTTCACCATTTCTATTCGCGATCGCACTCTTATTCCCCCACCTTCGCATCCCTTGCGACTCTGAACCGCCGACCATCACATGCCATCCGACTAAGCACTGTGACGACGGCATAACAACAACAATAACAACAACAACAACATCAACAACAACCATGGCGGAGCCACCATCGTCGCCGCCCAACGAGGCGGCCAGCCCCGAAGATCAACTGCGCTGGTACAAATCTCAGTACGCATCGCTCGAGGAGGAGCTGGCCGAATTCCGGGAGTCGAGCAAGGAGCTGGAACAGGAGTTGGAAAAGGACATTGAGCAAGCAGAAAAGAGGGAGCGCAAACTCCAGGAAAAGGCCGAGAGCCTCAAGTTCGAGGCTGAGGAATGGAAGGTAGGTTGACGAGCTGCTTGTCCCGTCAATTGACGTACCCGCAAGGAAAGGCACCCTAAGCTGACTCACTTCCCTACCCGCAGTCCAAATACAACCAGGCAAAGAAGGATGCCAACGCCGCCCAAAACGCTCTAGAAAAAGAAATCACCATGCTGCGCGACACCAACAGGACTCTCCAGATGAAGTTGCGCGACATCGAGGTTGTCAACGATGACTTTGAGCGCCAGGCCCGAAACACAAGCTCATCCCTCGAAGATCTCGAATCCAAGCTGAACAGCTCGATTGAACGCAATGTCATGATGGAGGAAGAGATCAGGATTGGCGAGCAAGAGCGTGAGACGCTGCGTATCGAGGCGCAACGTCTGCGTGAGGAACTGTCCGATCTCAAGATCGAGGCCGAGCTGCTCCAGGACAAGATCAAGAAGCAGGAGGCCCGCCACCTGTCCGCCATCTCCACCGACCTCTCCATCCTCTCATCATCCCCGACCTTTGATAAGACGCTGGATGCCTCTCCTGGCTCGACGGCCAGCTCGCCCATGGTATCGACCCCGCCCGACGACGACGCGCTCCTCGTCAACAAAAAGTCTCAGATCAGCGAGCCTCCGTCCCCACCCATGTCCGACGTCTCCTCATCCGTGCCCAAGAGGACCGTCTCCCGAACGCCCCTCAAGACCCCGGCCAAAACTCCGGCGTCGGCGACGCGCAAGTCCCGTCTGCCCTCGACCGAACACAGCATCACGCCGAAGCCTCGGTCGTTCACAGCGTCCATCACGAGCAGCCGACCGACAGGAGGTCGTCCCTCTACGGGGGCATCGACAAGAACGCCCGCCACTCGAACCGCACCTCGCTCCATCTCTACTCGCATGCCCGCCAACAATTCTCTCAACCACATTCGGTCACTTACCGCCCAGATGCAGCGTCTGGAGGCACGTGTCCACAATGTCCGATCGAAACTCCCTGCCCCCGTTACGACACCTCCTCGAGCCTCGCCCCGTTCTTCGGTGCTGGGAGTCCACAGCGTGCCCTCGACGGTTACTATCCGTTCTCGCAAGCGTCCGACAGGCTCCACTGCATCGCGCGACGACACCACGCCGTCCAACTTCTCCTCCAGCACAAGATCCAAGCATGTACCTCGTCTGAGCACGTCGGGCGTCAGCCGTCTATCTTTTGGCCCGCTGCCCAACCGAAACCCTGGAGCTGGAACCGGAATCGAAAACGAGTCTGCCATTTCTCGGCCAAGCTCGCGGGCTAGTGTCTCGTCGTATGCCCGGCCTTCGAGCCGTACGGAAATGGCGCCTCCCAGACCTATGAGCCGGACCAGCATGTCTGGGACCCGGACACCGATGGGCCGCCCCCGCAGCTCTCTCGGCGGTGGCTTTCACGCGCGCTCTACTAGCATCAGCAGCCGCATTGACATCGAGGAAGGCGACGAGACGGGCGAATACATAACACCCAGTAGGAGTGGTACGTTCTCTCGCCTGGAGTCGGAAACCGGCATGAGCGGTATTCCTCTGCCGGCCAGCGGCATCCCGATGCCTAGCTCGCGACGCCAGAGCGGGAGTAGTGTCTCCGGGAGGCGAAGCTCGATCGGCCTAAGGGGTTCTGTGATGGGCACTCGGGAGCTAGTGGAAGAGGAGACTTACTAAGCAGGCTCAAACAGCTGACATACCCGCGGAGGAAGATTTGATACCAAAGGAGACGGGGACGTTGTCGTTTTTTGACTACAGCAAATGGGGGCCCGGAGTTCACTGAAGCTGCGAGCACGGCGAAGCCGCATTACCTTATTCTCTCATTCTTAGCGAGACAGAAAGTCTCAATGTTGTTTCCTTTGTCTATTGCTTCTACGATGATTACGGGAGGGGCTTCAGGCGTGGGTAACTGCATCGTGGCGTTGGTATGATTATGGGTCCGGACAGGGAAAGCATGGCGGTGCCTTGATGGCTTCATTGCGCTGTTTTGTTCCGCGAAAGAGGCCTTTTTACACGCAACGCACATACATATCTTGTTCCCAACTCCCAATCCGTTGGTGGTTACAAACCATGCCTTGGTCCCCGAATATACCGGATTATTACCTTTTGAATGCTGCCGTGTCCAGTGTCCCGAGTGAATGCACGTGGTTTCTGCTGAGCGGGGAAGGCGATGAGGATCGAGACCGAGATGCGTCACCAAGATGATTGTTTCGGCAAGGTTAGGACTGAAAGTTTGACGTTGTCAGGCTCGCGTCATGTATCGTTGTCGTATGGTTTGTCGCCGATTCGGCGCTGGCTCGGGGGGAGGGAGGCCGAAGGGGATTCCCCCACCCCTTCCCGGTGCACCGATAAATCCGGTCCGGGCCGTCGGGCAAGACCGCCGAACCGGGGAGAGGGCGCGGAGGTAAGATTGTCTCCCCAACGACATGGCTCGCGTGCTTTGAGCAAACGCCCCCGGGCATTCATTCTTACGGGCACGATTCCCTCGGGTCTCGGTGAGGATGTCTTTTTTTTTTTTTTTCTCTTTGCACCCAAGAAGTTAGGGGGGGGGGGGGGGGGGTCGTCGTGACGGGCTATATAGTATGGAACGCTGGCGGGACTTGATGGATGAGGTCGGGCAGGATAGGGTTGTGTACGACTTCTTTGCGCCGCCGCATAGGTGTGCTACTTTACATAATACGTATTCTGCCTTTTTTATGCTCCATGAATCTACGATGTAGTATTAACGACGAAGCAGGTGGGGGAAGTCGTGCGTCTAGACGTTTCGGCATTTGCTTCCCAGTCTTTTCATTGTCTTGCTCGATATAGATGCAGGTGAAATAAATACGACGAAAATCGCTGCACCACTCCACGCTCAGAATACCGGGCACGAAATGAGCGATATCTCTTCTGCTCCCCACGTAGAATACGGAGCCTCACCGAATCCACTCCTTTTCACCAAAATGCCCGCCACGTACCCTGTTGTTACTCATTATGCCCCCCCCCCCCCCCCCCCCCCCCCTCCCCCCTTCCTCCCTTCCGGGTCATCATCACCGAGCAGGACGCAGGGCTAAGCTGACAAGGTTCTACCACGTCACGCATGTACACATGGATAACAGGCACCGCCATAGCCGTCTGCATCACAATGGATGTCAAAAGCCCCGACATGACTTGTCCTAGGGTGGGAGCATCAACGGCACAGCTTTTGACACGGGCAGACATCGCCTGGCGCGCCGATATTGATGGATATATAGTTGCTCTAAAACCCCATAAGTGGTCTAGTGCAGTTCACCCGATACATATGTAATATCACAGTACGTACAGCCCGATACGGGGCACCTCTGACCTTTGCCAGATCTCAATATCTTAATACGGTATAGAATACCCGGTAACGCAGAGCAACTGCCGAATCTGACTTCACTGCAACTATGGCCTGGAGCGAACGACCTTCGGGCGCCGGAACGTCGGCGGCAACAGAGTCGCTGCTGGGCCGCGGCGTGACGCACCGCTGTTGAATAAGGTCGTGGCGCGCCGGTATAAGCCCCACGATCTCTACCCACCCTGATATACCGTTACCTTTCAGGCCGCGGGGACCATACAAGGAAAAAGCGAGGCGAAAAGAGTCGTGGACACGGCAATGGGCCCAAGTGTCGGAAACACCCGCACCCTGGGAGCCAAAGGCGTTGCGCGAGGTAGGCGGATGATGCCGCAGCTCTAGTCTCGTTCAACCTCGTAAGCAATGGGCACAGGGTAACAGTCATACAGCACAACCGGAGTCACTACTATATACAACAAGAACAAAAAACAAGGGACCAATCATCTCCCACAAGGAGCCATTGGTGATGAACCTTCGTGCTGCTCCCCCCAAGCCCTAGGGCCTTGAGATGTTGGATTGCCCCCCTTCACCCCCCCGGGGTAGGCTCTCGGCAAGCCCCCCATGCATATCACCTACAGCCACTCCCGTAAAAACGACACCGGCATGTCGCAGCTAGGAACTCGAACAGGCGGGGGAAAAAGATACCTGCTCATCTACACGGGTCTACTACCGCAAAGCCCACTGCAGTTCATCTTCGGAGCCCGCCGTCGCAATGCCGCTCGGCAGAACGCAGGAACCAGAACCACGTTACCGGTCCCAAGCGTCCTTGTTTGACTGCGGTTCTTGTTCCGAGCCATGTACCAGTGTACATGGCGTTAAGTCGAGTCTATCGGACAAGCCTGTTCCTAAATATCGGCCCGTCTCATTGTAGGCTGCCTCCTAAGGGCCATCTCAGCTTTTTGACGTCCGCGAATCAGACGAAGAAGGAGTTGTGGATTGGGGTGGCAAGACACGTATGATATGGGGCTGGCAAGCAAATATCCGTCCAAAGTTCGGTCTTGGACACGGTTCAGAGAAGAATGTCTGTCCTCGTGGCACAGTGGATATGCCAGCTGGACCTCGCCGAGGTCATCTGCCCCATGGTGTCGTGCAGCTGCGGTCTCAGAGCAACGGCAGACCGCCAGCCGCAACGCACGTACCTGCGTGACCTAGTCGGATGAGAGAGCTAAGACCGGCGTTCAAGATATGGTCGAGACACGATGCGGCCTGGCGGTGGTGCTGCAGGCACAGCACAGTCTCATGCGGCTCGTTCGCGCCGATGTGGGGGCAACGGCATACGACCATGAACCGGCGAGCGCGGGGACCAGGCCATATTTGTACAGATGGATAACGGTGGGAGCGGTATCAGCACAAGTGCTACTAGACAGAGCATTGTGAGCAATGCGCTCCGTCAGATCCGCTGGCGTTGGCAGGTATTTATAAGACACCGCCTCACCGGCCTTAGCTCCAGCTCATCGGTGTCACAGGTTAGAAGCGAAGTGAGTGGTTAGGCTATGATTGGAGGCACAGACTGAGTTGCTCCCGCGCCAGGTAGGTGAGAGGACGGCAATAGATGGTCCTAAGCAAGGGCGTGGTACCATCTCAATGGGAGTTGTCGTCTCTCGAAAAGGGACGATGGACGATGGATTCAAGCGGCCGTGTCAGATTGCAGATGGGGCGCAGTACGTCTCCAGCTTTGACAGAATCGGATCTGCTCGCCCCGTCTCTAGCGCATGTAAGTGTGTATGCCTGTAGGGGACTAGCGTAGCATCCGCTATACGTAGGAGGCGCCGAGAACGGGACGACCTGGGGGGCCAATGCCCAGTCATTTCCTCGTCCCGAGGCCTTGTCGAGTACACGACACATCTGGGGATATGCTGGGGACAAGGAATACAGAAAGGTGAGAGCGGGTGAAAGGAAGTCCGCCCTACGCCCTGGAGCCGGGATGGTTACAATGCCGTGGTTTTCATGGGCCGGGACTGGAGACTGGGACCTCGGCGCAGGCAAACAATGAGCTCAGGGGATGTTTCGGGCTCGGAGCGGTGCGATCGAGCGTCTAGGGTGCATGGAAGCAAGAAGTAACAAGCACGATTCTGTGCGTTTACATGATGTAGCTGAGCGTCCAACGTGTTCAAATAGTTGATGAATGAGGGAGTGTAGGTGTTCGTCCGTACGTGGGGCACTCAATCCACGTTCCACGGCCATTGTTGACCCCATGCCACCAAGGGAAAAAAAAGCATCCTCCAATGGGCGGGTGCGAGAGTGGCTGCTGAGGCTGCAAGAGTTGCGGTTTACACAATAGCCATCATTTCGTATCCGATCTGTAGTGTATATTGAGAATGATGTCGTTGCCGCTGGGCTGATGAGATTGGCTGGCGGGCTGCATGACGGTTTGAGCGAGAGCCTAAGGCTATTACGGCTGCTGCGCTTGGGCACGGGCCCCGCTGAGGGACGGACAAGATGTTGGGGATCTGCGGGTGGAGAGTTATTTTCATTTGGACCAGCGCCGGATGGCGATTTTTTTCTCTCTCTTTCTGCGGTGCTGTTTTTCTTAGCTGAGTGGGGAGGGGGGCTTGTTTGTTTTCATTGTCCTGTCATTGGTGTGTGAGCTACCCCTGGCATTTCTGGAAGGGGCTCAGCGAAGGGGGGGGGGGACCCCCAAACCGTGTTCCAAATTCCCAATTGTTGGGGGACCGACATTTGCCGTCGTCGAGGATCTCCAAGTCCAAGGCCCAAAGGCCCATAATAAGGTCTGGGTTTGGTGGCAGATCTGGGGTGGGGAAACGTCGAAGGAGAAGATCGATAAGCCACCATGATGATTTCCTCCGATATCATGTCGGGTGTTCGTATCTCCGTCGTCCCTCGTCGGCCGAAGCGGTCCCTTGATTGTTAGGCGCTTGGCTCGATGGGAAAAAGTTGAATGGTGAATACCTTCCCAAGACATTGGGCTAGTTGGAATGCATGACGTGAGACTAAAGAGACTTTGGCGTGGTTCACGCTGCCGCCTGTCTTGTTCATCTGAGACACAGATGAGTTAGACAAGAGCGTTTGGCCACAATACGCCAGTCCAAGCAAGCAAGCCCAGCGGACCAGACAAGTGGAAGAGTTGAGACGTCGGTTGGCTACTATGTACAGTCACTTATCTCGCTCATCGCTCAGCATTCCTTATCCCGGCGAGGCGTTGACAGGGACCTGACGCCCAGAGGGCTAGCGGAACCTGATGGACGTCCCCGGACGGAGAAGCAGCGAGGCTAGGCTGTTTAGAGAGGGCTAAGCGAGGTAACGGTTAGTTGTTGAGGCTTCCACCCCTGGCGACATCTGACTGACCGCCTGCGCGATTGGGCTTGGAACGGAGGAGGGGATGCGCTGGGATTCTGGTTGGACTAGATGGGTCCGGTCGGGTCCTTGTGACAAACTTTGGTAGGACGGGCCTGTCCCGGCTGACGTTGAATGCTGGGCATCAAAGATGATGTCGGGGCCGATGGACCATCAAATATGTGATGCCAGTGTATCCGTAGCGTGGGAACAGGAGATACGCACCGCCTGTCATATCGGGACGCCTAGACGTGTTTACCCATTGAGCTGAATCGGGAGCCCACGAGACGTGGGTGTCGGGTCTGGGTGTCATTCTGCGGCGGTGACGGTCGGTGTCCAAGGGTCTGCCGCCTTATCCAGCGAGTTTACTCCGTAGTGCGTGTTTTTTTCTTCTTTTTTTTTTTTTTCATTTTTTCATTTTTATTTTTTTCATTTTCTTCTTTCTCTCTGGGCAGCAGCTTCGGACATTGATTGGAGATGCCGTCGGGGTTCGGTGGTGGCAACGTTGGCTGACCCGATCCCTCGAGAACCGGGGGCGGGGGGGGGAAAGACACCGGACGAGGTACGCCGTTTTATTGGAGTCCAAGACATTGTGCGCCAGTCGCGGTATCGCTTGTTAGTGGTATTGTCGTAGGGCATGTAAGTGTCGCGTGTGTGGTGTCGAAGGGGGGCGCGATAGGTTAGGTAGATTGAAGACATGACTGGGCTTGTGGGTGAGGGAGGTGACGACAGGGTTGGAACTGCTGAAATCTCGAGGTGCAAGGGCACATACACACACACATACCAGTCGATGCGCGTAGAGGAGCTTTGGTTATCGATAGCGTCCCGAGAGCTGCAGCTGCAACATTGGGGGAAGGAGCAGGGAAGGGGGTGGAAAGAAAAAGAAAAAAAAAGAACAAGAGCGGATGGATGCAAGAACGAGCTTTGATTGGGGACAATGTCAACGTGCTGGTCCAAACCAGGGAAAAATTCCAGCGGCAGAAACCACTGGGATGATCAGGTCCCCTAGGGTACGTGCCCGCGAGATAGAACTTCTGGAATCGGTACCTGACCCCCCACCAGGTACGCGTCCCGTCCTGGGTACCTTTCCAAGTACCGTTCCCGAGTCGGACTCCGAGGCAGGCAGGCAGGCAGGCAGGCACCTACCTCAGGTGCTTACTGTACGGATACATACACATCTCAGTACCTCAGTAACTACCTACGCATGCAGTAACGTGGAAAAGTGAGAGGAAAGAGCGACGTTGCGTTGTTTGCTTCACGACCTTTTCTTCTTCTTCAGCCTTGGCATCGTATGTAGGTACCGTAGTAGTAGTCTGGGGTGGATGGCGCAGTGGCAGAATGGGGGAAACACCCAACCCAGACCCGGCCCAGCAATCCGTCAATCAACGACTGGAAAGACATGGAATCGGGACTGGGCGGGACTAGTAACGAACTTACAGCACAAATGTGTCCGTATATACCTGTGCGACTCGATCAACTCAAATCGACTCACGGGAGCCGAGCAGGAACTGAATCAGCTCTGCAGGCTGATGGTCTGGGTGGTTAAAGTCTAGGAGAGACCGGACAGGGGCGGCTATTGCAGCCCGCTGGCCCGTCCGCCCGCCCACCCTTGGGCAGAGCTTCCCCAACACCCCGGCCATTGGTTGAGGGAGTGAGGGAGGGGGGACAGAAGCAGAAGCTGACGGACGGATGGATTGTAGAGGAGAGAGAGAGAGAGAGTGAGACAGCGAGAGAAGAACAACAAACAATGCATCTCTCCACCACGGTTCGCATGCATGAATGAATGTGGGAAATCCAAGTGGGCACCGGCTTGTTCGAGCACGTCTAGCGTGAATCGAGCGAGCGAGCGAGCGGAAGGGTTTAGATGATTTGGACGTGGCCCCAGCATGGGCTTGGCCTAGTCTGTGTGTGTGTGTGTGTGTGTGGTGTGTGTCTTTTCCTATCTACGCAACTACCTACCTATCCCGAGCCATACATAGTAACGTTCTGCGTAGTGTACTTAGTGTAGTGTACCTGCCTGTAGTGCAGAGGACAGGCAGTCCCAGGTAAGAGGGAGAGGGAAGAGAAGAGGTCCGCCTGGTCTCAAACGAGTGTGTTGAACCGGGGTGGATTTTTTTTTGGGCTGAGGACGATCTTGATCCTACCTGGATTGGCGATGGTTGATGACGGTCCGTCACCCGCCCCGCCGAAGGTGAGGTGCGAAAGGTGAGTGAGAGAAGAAGTACAGGGGGGTACTTGATCTCGGGCACCGATACAAGTACCTGTCTTGCATTCCCGAAGTACCTACCCTTCGGTCCGGCGGTGCATGGGAAACTGCCGCCACCACCACCACCATCAGCACAACCACGACCACAACCACCACCACTACCTTCGACACGCAGCTCCCGCTCCTTCGCGATGCGCCTGTGTGTCCTGCCTCCGGGCGGGTTGCCATGGACTGCCTGCTATTGCTCTGACTCTGGATCTGGGTCTTACTCCTCCATCCTTCCGGCCTATGTTTGGTACCGGAGCTATGGTTTGCAAAGTCTTTTCCATCGGGGGACGCGAATGTAATAAATAATATATACAGTCAGCCTCACCTGCCTCTGCTCTTCCTGCTTCCCGTTCTCTCCTTCCCTTCGTCGTGCCCCGTTCTGTGCCTCACACCGCACCCTTCTTCCTTCCTTTGTCTCTATCTCTTCCCCGCGGCGGGTTCTCGTCGTTGTATCATTCGGACCTCAACATCCATCCAGTCCCAGTTCCGCCTCTCGTTTACTTGGATCAATCGGTTGGCCATCGCCAGAACGAACATAGCAATCTCGAAAGATAGAATTCGAGGATAGCCTCCCAGGCAGCCGGCGTTGTCCGAGGGGAATTTTTTTTAATTTTAACTCAACTCACCATCCTAAACAAAGTAGGCATTTACTACACCTCCTCTCAACCACGCACTCCCACTTTCCTCCCATTCACGCCCCCGTACCCCGTGCCGTACCCCCAACCCAAGGACGGTACCTTCTCATCCCGGCCCGGACCCCAGTTTTATTTTGTCGATATACCTCCATCTCCAGAAAAAGGTACATGGCTTTGTGACGTTCCCACGCGCCCCCCCTCGCCGCTCCAACAATCCATGCCCCCCCAATCCAATCCCAATCAATCTAATCCCAGCTCCAAAGTCACTCGGAGCTCGGAATCCACCACATCTCAACTCACTCACTATTCCGCTCCTTGTACCTGTGTCTCCAGTCTACACTTTCTTAGGTGTGCCTCTGAGAGTCCTTCCCTCGCGTCCCATCATAATCCTCATCCCCAATCCCAATTCTCAATCTCAATAGTCCGCGGCGGCCGGACTACAATAACACGTCCCCGACCCCCCCTTCCTCCTTGAAACTCCCTCTGTTCTTCGACCTCTTCTCTCACTTTCTCCTTTCCATTCTCCCTTTTCTGACACACTTTTGTAGACCCTTCTGTTCTTAACCACAAGACAGAGGAAGAAAGCAATTGTCTTGCCAATCTCCCCCCCCCTCAAACTCAACCAGGTACGTTGCTGTCTCGCCCACAGCTTCTCCAGCAAGCACCGCTGCACGCTGCAGCTCTCTCGCGCTCTCTCTACATCTCTGCGTTGTCTCGTCCACCGCCCTCGCCAGCCCGACGCTTCTCTCCCTGGCAAGGAGACCCCCAAATCCCACGCCGCCCAATCCCGCCCCCCTGGCATTCCACACTCACCCCCTCCCCGAACGTCGCGCCCCTCTTGTGTTATTTCTGCCGCTCTCCGATCCCCCAACAAGAAAGTTTGTGCCAGAGTTGCTAACAAGACCATCTTTTCCCCAGAGACTCGAACAAATCTCTGTCCTTCACCTCCGACACACCAATTGCTCTGTCTATACCCCTTGTACTGTTCCTTGCTGCAGAGCCAGATCTCTACGACTAATCTCCCTGCTCGAACCTTCCCCCTTCGAGCAAATTTCTCTCCCCGCCCCTCGTCTCACGTCATACCACACCGAATCAAAGCTCCAGGAGCTCCCCCCGATTCATGACGGTCGCCCTCTGAGATACCCGCGAATTCCTCAACAGATACCGCAATCATGACCGAAATCACAGCAACAAACGGCACCGGCCGGACTGTGCCCCATGCTAACGGCAAGGCCACCTATGCCGAGAAGCACAAGATCGCCGACCACTTCATTGGCGGCAACAAGCTGAGCAACGCACCAGCCTCCAAGGTCAAGGACTTTGTTGCGCAGCAAGATGGTCACACCGTCATCACCAACGTGCGTCGAGCCCCTGTTTTTCCCTGACAATTCTGTCGGTGGGTACATCAGACATGCTGACCGAGAGACGTCTCGCAGGTTTTGATCGCCAACAACGGTATTGCCGCCGTCAAGGAGATCCGTTCGGTGCGGAAATGGGCCTACGAGACGTTCGGCGACGAGAAGGCCATCCAGTTCACTGTCATGGCTACCCCCGAGGACTTGGCAGCCAACGCCGACTACATTCGCATGGCTGACCACTACGTCGAAGTCCCCGGCGGCACCAACAACCACAACTACGCCAACGTTGAGCTGATTGTTGATATTGCCGAGCGCATGAACGTCCACGCTGTGTGGGCTGGATGGTGAGTGCGCCTCTAACAACCAACCCCCCCGGTATTACCCGTTGTCGAAGCTAACAGCGTTTGCACAGGGGCCACGCCTCCGAGAACCCCAAGCTTCCTGAGTCTCTCGCCGCATCCCCCAAGAAGATTGTCTTCATTGGACCCCCAGGATCTGCCATGCGATCTCTCGGTGACAAGATCTCCTCCACAATCGTTGCACAGCACGCCCAGGTGCCCTGTATTCCCTGGTCGGGAACCGGCGTCGACGCTGTCGAGGTTGACGATAACGGCATCGTCACCGTCGCCGACGACGTCTACGCCAAGGGCTGCGTCACGTCGTGGGAGGAGGGCCTGGAGAAAGCCAAGGCCATTGGCTTCCCCGTCATGATCAAGGCGTCAGAGGGTGGTGGTGGCAAGGGTATCCGTAAGGCTCTCTCCGAGGAAGGCTTCGAACAGCTCTACAAGGCCGCTGCGGGTGAAATCCCCGGTTCCCCCATCTTCATCATGAAGCTGGCCGGCAACGCGAGACATTTGGAGGTGCAGCTGCTCGCTGATCAGTACGGTAACAACATCTCCCTCTTTGGCAGAGATTGTTCCGTCCAGCGCCGTCACCAGAAGATTATCGAGGAGGCGCCCGTCACCATCGCCAAAGACATCACTTTCAAGGCCATGGAAGACGCCGCCGTCCGTCTCGGAAGGCTCGTGGGTTACGTCTCGGCTGGTACCGTCGAGTACCTGTACTCTCATGCCGACGACAAGTTCTACTTCCTCGAGCTGAACCCCCGTCTCCAAGTCGAGCATCCCACCACGGAAATGGTTAGCGGTGTGAACTTGCCCGCCGCCCAGCTTCAGATTGCCATGGGTATTCCCCTGCACAGAATCCGCGACATCCGTCTGCTCTACGGCGTCGATCCCAAAACGTCCACCGAGATCGACTTCGAGTTCAAGCAGGAGGGCAGCGAGAAGACGCAGCGCCGCCCTAGACCCAAGGGTCACACCACTGCTTGCAGAATCACCTCCGAGGACCCCGGTGAAGGCTTCAAGCCTTCCAACGGTGTTATGCACGACCTGAACTTCAGGAGTAGTTCCAACGTTTGGGGTTACTTCTCCGTCAGTACTGCTTCCAGTATTCACAGTTTCTCCGACTCCCAGTTTGGTCATATCTTCGCCTACGGTGAAAACCGTGCTGCCTCTCGCAAGCACATGGTCGTCGCCTTGAAGGAGCTGAGCATTCGTGGTGACTTCCGCACGACAGTCGAGTACCTCATCAAGCTTCTGGAGACGGAGGCCTTCGAGGACAACACCATCACTACCGGCTGGCTCGACGAGCTCATCACCAAGAAGCTGACGGCTGAGCGACCGGATCCCATGCTGGCCGTGGTTAGCGGTGCCGTTACCAAGGCTCACCTTGCCAGTGAGGCTTGCATGACCGAGTACCGCACCAGCTTGGAGAAGGGTCAGGTCCCCTCCAAGGACATCCTCAAGACTGTCTTCGCGGTTGACTTCATCTACGAGGGCTTCCGCTACAAGTTCACTGCGACCCGCGCCAGCGTTGACAGTTATCATCTCTTCATCAACGGATCAAAGTGCTCTGTCGGCGTTCGCGTTCTCAGTGACGGCGGTCTCTTGATCCTTTTGGATGGCCGCTCCCACAGCGTCTACTGGAAGGAGGAGGTCGGTGCCACCCGTCTGTCTGTGGATGGCAAGACTTGCCTGCTCGAGCAGGAGAACGACCCCACCCAGCTGCGTACTCCTTCTCCTGGTAAGCTCGTCAAGTACCTGGTCGAGAACGGCGAGCACGTCAAGGCCGGCCAGCCCTTCGCCGAGGTCGAGGTCATGAAGATGTACATGCCCTTGATCGCTGCCGAGGATGGTAACGTCCAGCTCATCAAGCAGCCGGGAGCCACTCTCGAGGCTGGCGACATCCTGGGTATCCTCGCACTGGACGACCCCAGCCGCGTCAAGCAGGCTCAGCCCTTCGTTGGCCAGCTTCCCGTCTACGGCGAGCCAGTCGCCGTCGGAACCAAGCCTGCTCAGAAGTTCGCACTCCTGCACAACACCCTGAAGAACATCTTGCTTGGATACGATAACTCTGTCATCATGGCTTCCACCCTCAAGCAGCTGATTGAGGTTCTCCGCAACCCTGAGTTGCCCTACAGTCTGTGGAATGCTCAGTTCGCTGCGCTCCACAGCCGTATGCCCCAAAAGCTCGACACTCAGTTTTCCCAAATCGTCGACCGCGCCAAGACTCGCCACGCCGACTTCCCGGCCAAGGCCCTGTCCAAGGCCTTCCACAAGTTCATCGACGATAACGTTGCTGCCGCCGACGCCGACATGCTCAGGACCACTCTGGCCCCTTTGACCGAAGTTCTCGATGCTTTCGCCGAGGGCCAGAAGGCTCACGAGCTCAACGTTATCAAGGGACTGCTGGCCTCGTACATTGAGACTGAGCGTCTTTTCACTGGCTACGGAACCCAGGAGGACAGCGTCATCCTTAAGCTGCGTGACCAGAACAAGGATGACATCCGCAAGGTTGTCCAGACCGTCCTGTCGCACAGCCGTGTCGGCGCCAAGAGCTCGCTCGTCCTCGCTATCCTCGAGGAATACCGCCCCAACAAGCCCAACGTCGGAAACGTTGCCAAGTACCTCCGTTCTGCTCTGCAGGAGTTGACTGAGCTGCAGTCCTCCCGCACCACCTCCAAGGTCTCCCTCAAGGCCCGTGAGATCATGATCCAGTGCTCTTTGCCTTCCCTGGAGGAGCGCACTGCTCAGATGGAGCATATCCTTCGATCCTCCGTTGTCGAGTCTCGCTACGGCGAGGCTGCCTGGGACCACCGTGAGCCCAGCTTGGAGGTTATCAAGGAGGTTGTTGACTCCAAGTACACCGTCTTCGATGTCTTGACGCTCTTCTTCGCCCACGAGGACCCTTACGTCTCTCTGGCTGCCCTCGAGGTCTACGTTCGCCGTGCCTACCGTGCGTACATCCTTAAGCAGATCGAGTATCACTCCGACGAGACGGACACCCCTCTCTTCGTCACTTGGGACTTTGCTCTGCGCAAGATTGGCCAGAGCGAGTACGGACTTCCTCTGCAGTCCGCGGCGCCCTCTTCTCCCGCTACTCCCAGCGCAAGCGGCGGCTCGTTCGACTTCAAGCGCATCCACTCCATCAGCGATATGTCTTATCTCAACCACAAGTGGGATTCCGAGCCCAACCGCAAGGGTGTCATTGTCCCCGTCAAGTACCTCGATGATGCCGAAGACCTGCTTGGCAAGGCCCTCGAGACTCTTGCTCTTTCCGACAAGGCGAGAAAGCGCAGCACCCCTGGTCTCATTCCTGACCTGAGTGGCAAGCGCAAGCCCGTCGCGACCAAGGTTGAATCCGAGGAGCTTTCTGCTGTCATCAACGTCGCTGTTCGCGACGCCGAGAGCAAGAGTGACCAGGAGATCCTCTCTCGCATTGTCCCCATCGTTGAGCAGTTCAAGGACGAGCTCCTGAACCGCAACGTCCGCCGTATCACCTTCATCTGCGGTCGCAACGACGGTGCCTACCCCGGCTACTACACGTTCCGTGGCCCCGAGTATGTCGAGGATGACAGCATTCGTCACAGTGAGCCTGCACTTGCCTTCCAGCTCGAGCTCGCCAGGCTGGCCAAGTTCCACATTAAGCCCGTCTTCACCGAGAACAAGAACATCCACGTCTACGAGGGTATCGGCAAGGCTGTCGATGGCGACAAGCGTTACTTCACTCGCGCCGTCATTCGTCCCGGCCGTCTCCGTGACGAGATCCCTACTGCTGAGTACCTGATCTCTGAGGCTGACCGCGTCATCAACGACATCTTCGACGCTCTTGAGATTATCGGCAACAATAACTCCGACTTGAACCAGGTCTTCATCAACTTCACCCCCGTGTTCCAGCTACACCCCCAGGAGGTCGAGAGTAGTCTCCAGGGCTTCCTTGACCGCTTTGGCGCTCGTGCTTGGCGTCTGCGTGTCGCCCAGGTGGAGATCCGCATCATTTGCACTGACCCGCAGACTGGTGTCCCCTACCCTCTGCGTGTCATCATCACCAACACCTCAGGGTACGTTGTTGATGTCGACATCTACGCCGAGCGCAAGTCTGAGAAGGGCGAGTGGGTCTTCAACAGCATCGGTGGCACCAAGGAGAAGGGACCCATGCACTTGCTGCCGGTCTCGACTCCTTACCCCACGAAGAACCCTCTGCAGCCCAAGCGTTACAAGGCTCACTTGATGGGTACTCAGTACGTTTATGATTTCCCCGAGCTTTTCCGCCAGGCCATCCAGAACAGCTGGACCCAGTCCGTCAAGAAGAATGGCGCTCTCGGAAGCCAGCAGCCCAAGTCTGGCGAGTGCGTCACGTACACTGAGCTCGTCTTGGATGACAAGGACAACCTGCAAGAGGTCAACCGTGAGCCCGGTACCAACACCTGTGGTATGGTCGGTTGGATCTTCAACGCCAAGACCCCCGAGTACCCCAAGGGCCGCAAGTTCATTGTTGTTGCCAACGATATCACGTACATGATTGGTAGCTTCGGTCCCAAGGAGGACAACTACTTCTACAAGTGCACCGAGCTGGCCCGCAAGCTTGGTATCCCTCGCATTTACCTGTCGGCCAACTCTGGCGCCCGTCTTGGTGTCGCCAATGAGCTCATGCCCCACTTCAAGGTTGCGTGGAACGACGCCAACAAGCAGGACAACGGCTTCAAGTACCTCTACCTCGACGACGAGGCCCAGAAGCGCTTTGCCAAGGACGTCATCACCGAGGTCGTTTCCGAGGATGGCGAGAAGCGTCACAAGATCGTCACCATTGTCGGTTCTGAAGATGGCCTTGGTGTCGAGTGTCTGAGGGGCTCTGGTCTCATTGCTGGTGCCACCAGCAAGGCCTACAACGACATCTTCACCATCACTTTGGTGACTTGCCGTTCCGTCGGTATTGGTGCCTACCTCGTCCGTCTCGGCCAGCGTGCCGTCCAGATTGAGGGCCAGCCCATTATCCTGACCGGTGCCCCTGCCCTGAACAACGTTTTGGGCCGTGAGATCTACACCTCCAACCTGCAACTTGGTGGTACCCAGATCATGTACCGCAACGGTGTGTCTCACATGACTGGTACCGACGATTTCGACGGCGTTTGCAAGATTGTCGAGTGGATGTCTTTCATTCCCGAGAAGCGTGGCAGCCCCATTCCTGTCAGCCCCAGCACTGATGCCTGGGACCGTGATGTTGTTTACACTCCCCCCCAGAAGCAGCCTTACGACGTCAGGTGGATGATTGGCGGTCGCCCCACTGAGGAGGGCGGCTTCGAGCCCGGCCTGTTCGACAAGGACTCCTTCGTCGAGACCCTTGGCGGCTGGGCTCGCACCGTCGTCGTTGGTCGTGCCCGTCTCGGCGGCATCCCCATGGGTGTCATCGCTGTCGAGACCCGCTCCGTCGAGAACATCACTCCTGCTGATCCCGCCAACCCTGATTCCATCGAGCAGGTCGCCAACGAGGCTGGTGGTGTTTGGTACCCCAACTCCGCCTTCAAGACCGCCCAGGCCATCAACGACTTCAACAATGGTGAGCAGCTGCCCCTCATGATTCTCGCCAACTGGAGAGGTTTCTCTGGTGGTCAGCGCGACATGTACAACGAGGTCTTGAAGTATGGCTCCTACATCGTCGATGCCCTTGTCAAGTACGAGCAGCCCATCTTCGTTTACATTCCTCCTTTTGGAGAGCTTCGTGGTGGCTCTTGGGTCGTCGTCGACCCCACCATCAACCCCGAGGCCATGGAGATGTACGCCGATGTCGACGCCCGCGGTGGTGTCCTCGAGCCCGAGGGTATCATCGGTATCAAGTACCGCAAGGACAAGCAGCTTGAGACCATGGCTCGCCTGGACCCTGTGTACGCCTCTCTTAAGAAGCAGATGGCCGCCGATCTGCCCAAGGAGCAGGCCGACGAGCTCAAGAAGAAGATGACCCTCCGCGAGAAGCAGCTCCTGCCTGTCTACTCGCAGATCGCCCTTCAGTTCGCCGACCTTCACGACCGCTCTGGCCGCATGAAGGCCAAGGGTGTCATTCGCGACCAGCTCGTATGGGCCAACTCCCGTCGCTACTTCTACTGGCGCCTGCGCCGTCGTCTCAACGAGGAGTACCTCCTCCGACGCATGTCGTCGACCGTCATCACTGCTGCCCCTGGCGGTGATGCCACCAAGGCTCCCGAGGCTCGCAAGCGCAACCTGCAGTTCCTCGAGAGCTGGTCCGGCGTCGTCAACTTCGCGACCGCTGACCGTGAGGTGTCTGAGTGGTACGAGGCCAACCGCAAGTCCATCACGGAGAGAATTGAGGCCGTCAAGGCCGACAACCTGGCTACTGAGCTGAGCTCAGTCCTGAGAGCCAACCAGAGCGCTGCCATGCGTGGCGTTCGTGATGTCATTCGCACCATGCCGCCTGAGGAGCGTGACCAGATCCTCAAGTACCTGCGCGATTAGACATGTGGAGAGAAATGGTCGGCGTAACAATACCGGGGTTGGGGTGTACGGGTATAATTGGGCATATGTGTTTATTGGGATGGTTATGACTATGTACGAGCATCCTTCTGCGAGTGTGTTATGATAGATTTCAATGTCGGGACAATATTCCCATTAATGAACCCGTTGCACCCTTTGGCCTCCGTGATGGTGACATGATGACTCCTCAATCCAAAGGCAGGGTGCGTGCTGTATGTAACATGTTGCACCCTTACTTTGTTTAATATCACCTCCTACGTAAACAATCAACTTAACGCCCGAGACCAACTTTAACGCATTCATTCCACCTCATTAATTCCGCTTGTCTTTGATTGCAGCCTTGGAACTGGGGCGTCCCGTAATATTCTGCTGCCGGTTCTCACACGTTTGGCTGAGCGTTGGACTTCCATCATCTAATGGTCGTATGGAAGACCTGTCTAGAACCCCGTTGGCACATAGCCGTTCTGCTGGTAACCGTTCTGCTGGAAGCCGTTCTGCTGGAAGCCGCTTTGCTGGAAGCCGCCTTGCTGGAAGTCGTTTTGCTGGAATCCGTTCTGCTGGAAGCCGTTCTGCTGGAAGCCGTTCTGCTGGAAGCCGTTCTGCTGGAAGCCGTTCTGCTGGAAGCCGCCTTGCTGGAAGTCGTTTTGCTGGAATCCGTTCTGCTGGAAGCCATTCTGTCCAAGCATGTTTGTCTGAAGCATGCTTTGCGGAAAATGGGCCCAAAAGACACGGTCGTTGTCCAGCATCGTGGGATGAAAGTCCGGTACCGCTGTATCGGAAGGCAATATCGCCGTGGTATCGGACGGCAACATGGGCTGGGGCTGCGGGATTCCATGGCCAGAAGGCTGCAACTGGGAATCCAACGGGGTCAAAGGATTCAGTTGAGAGCTGAGAGGGGCCTGCTGCACGAAGCCGTTGTTGCTTGGCCCAGCACCCTTCAAGCCGGCGGATTGCTCTCGTCGCGACGGGCGGGTGCGAGACGCAAAAAAACTTTCCCAGTTCGACCGTGGGCGATTTGAAGGCCTGCTGTAATACGCGGTCCTGTTCGGGCAGTGGTCACCCGTTGTGGCATTGTCCATCGCCCCCAAAGAGGCGAGCCCTGACTGGCTCACTGGAAGGTAATGCTGGGCGTGTAGTTGGAGCGCTTGGGCCTCAAGAGTTGCATTCGACTCGGAAAGCGATGCCATGCCGCCGCCCACGTTTCCCAAACTGGCTTGGGGTTGTCCTGTAGCGGATGTAAGGTGAGGTTGCGCCGGCGTGCCGGCGAGTCCCTGGCTGTTGGGGACGTGGAAGGCCCCTCCTTGCGGGTGTGGGGTCGAAGGGCCGTTGACGCCGCCAGACGGCGCTCCTAGATTGCGGTTCAAGAGCTTTCTCATGATCATCTGGTTCGCAGGGCGTATCCGGCGGGTTCGGGTGACGTGCGCAGTCTGGGTGCGCGGGAGCAACTGAGCTCCTTTGAGTAGGTTGACGGCCGGTGTCGTTGCCACCGCCCCTGACGCGCTGAACACACGATTCAGGGGTGTGTGTCTTCGCTGCTTCTTGCTCGGCTCGGACGAGCTTCTCAGCTGATCGACGGGGATTTCTGAATTGGCTTGAGAGAGACCGTTGCCCTTCGGGCCATTGTCCGAAGTTGATATGTTGGGAAGACGAGGACGTGTGATGTTTGAGCCTTCGGGCTCTCTCAGAGGTTGGACCATGGTCTCAGCGTTGGCCCCCGTCGGAGCGTCCAGGACAGAGAAATCTGAGGCCGTCTTGGTGAGGAGCCTCGGGTCAATATAAAGCGATGCGTCGGGCTGTGGCTGAATGGCCGCGATGAATTGATCGTTGACACTTAGAGTCTGAGCATCAGCCTGTTGCATTTGCATGCCCGGCTGTTCGTTCGAACCCATTTCAAAAGCAAGCAGACTGCCATTGGAGACTTCGGTTGCACATTCGACAACCTCGTGCTCGCTCGGCATGTCGAATCCGAACATAGGCTTAACCGGGGAACCAGGAGTTCCCGGAATCTGTGGCAAGTACACTGACGGGGTGCCCGCACGACCGGCGACGTCGCCGAAGATGGGCTCAGGAGCGTCGCCGCCGGTGCCACCGCTGGCATCAACCGCGGCGGCGATCTGCTCCCCCATTTGAGGCTGCACAGTCTCGGACGCGGCACCCGTGGCGTCCAGCGCCGCGGCCGCGTCCATCGCGTCGTTGGCCTCCTTCAGCAACATGATTGAAGCGAATTCATTGGGATCGAAGTTTGGGTCGGGCCCTCGCAGGATGGGATCGACGAATGGGCATTCGAGGTTGTCGCAAGGCTGGTAATGAGGCCTCAGAGGCGGGTTTTCGAGATTCATATTCACGCAGGAGTCGGCAGCAGGGTTGTATAGTTCGCAGTGACGGACCCAGGGGCGAATCCGCCCGCACCCAGTGCACTGCCCATTCTCGGCTTGACACATGGAGAGACCTGTTGCGCGCGCGCGTATATGTGTGTGTGTGTGTGTTTGTATGATTAGAAACAGAGTTGGAGGCGATGGACGCGTCCAGTGGGATTGGTGTCGTCGATGTTGTTGCTTGCTTTGAGCGGTGTTGCTGTCGTCTTCAATGGATAAGATGGACGGGGTCGGGAGGAAGAACTGAAGTGCCCAAAGGCGAGGAATAGAATGATGTTGTGAAGCAATTGACTCGGCTCAGCCAAAGGAATATGTACCAGAAGCGGGTCAAGCTGGGGACAAGTCAATATGGATTAAAAGAGTATGAAAGGATCCAGAGAAGTATGGACAGGAAGAGATGTGTAGAGAAAAGATGGAAGAGGAAGAAGAATGGGGAGGGAGCAGTGAATTGCAGACCGGGGAGAAGTGGGTGGAAGCAAAGGCTATCGGAGATGGGTACTGGAAGGTACGGCGACCTTGAGGACTGTTTCTCCGTTGCCTCGGCTCGCCTCGCCTCGTCTTTCTGCTTTTGTCTTTATAGTGTCGTCTTTGGATGGAACTGGTGAAGTGTAGTTGAAGCCAATGTGAGATGAGGCGATGGGTGGAGCAAGAGGCCTCTCACAGTTGTTGCTCTTGACCCCAAGCAATGGATGGGTGTATCAGTGTTGAACTCATCGAGATCTCTACGCAAGAGAATTTCCCATCAATCCGAGAGAAAAATGAGACGGGCTGGAATCTGGGATTCTCGGGCTCCCTCCACAGGATCGGGGGGAACAGGAAGAAGGTTCAAGGTTCCCTGGTCGGCTCTTCCACGGGTTCTGCCACTCACTAACCATCATGCTCGAGAGACTGGGAACTGATTCCCTCATGTGGTTCGCCCATGAGATGGGTCAATCAAGACCTATTTCGCCATAGAACCGTGCCCCCAAGGCCGATGGAAGTTTCCTCGTGATGGGCCAGATGATATGGCAGTTAATGAGATATCGGAACGAAGACAGTCATCGTCCTAGGTTTTGTCCTGTAGGCATATACCATGCCTCATGCCTGCACTGAATCCATTGTACAGAAAAGGACTTCGTTTCTTTGAGCCTGTCATGAAGATGATAAAGCTCTCATCGATCCAATCATTCGTTTCAATTATGCAGGAACAAGTGATTTAGAGCTTCTGGCACAAAATATATGTTTCAATGTAAACAAATGAATTGGATTTGGCCGGACAAACAATCCTTGCCCTCAAACATTTCTATACCTTGGACCTACCTAGACAGACCTCGCCAGCTCCAAGATTTCCTTGACTCTCTCTTCAGGCTTCTCCATGTTGACCCAGTGCCCAGCGCCGGGAATATGAGTTGCTCTCTTCCAGCAGCCGTCCCGAACACTCTCCCCATTTCCCATTGCGTCGAGAGAGCCCGGAACCTGATACGTACCCCAGTCGCTCGTTCCCTCGTTCCAGAGACGTACTTTGTCGGGATACCGATCTTTGTCCCCGCGAAACATAGGGGGTCCGCGGAAAGGCTCGGGTCCACAAGCACTTTGTACCACAGCAAAGGAGGACCGAAGGTGTTGCGCGAGAACTCGTCCGTGTACACCTGGAGATCCGCGTCGGTGAGCCACCGTGTCTCGCCGAGCCTGTCGCGGATCTCAGCCGGCTCGTCGGACATGTCCAGGTCCACGTTTCCGCGCATCGATAGCTGGGTTCTCATGACGTAGTAGTGCGGCATGACGGCGAGCTGCTCTGCGGTCCATGATGCGAGGGGCCCTGGCTTGTTCAAGGCTTCAAGCTGTAAGCTGCCGACTTGAGGTGGAAGTAACCTCTAAGGAACCGGCGCATCGGCTCGCCGGTCGGGTTGGTCCACTCTTCGGCTGCTTCGGGAGATGCGTTGTAGTACTTGCAATGCTTCCGGGCCCCCGGGGTGGGTCAAGCTTCAAGAGTGACGACCGAATATCGGGGTCGGCCTTGATCCCTTCTCCCTTGCCAAATCCAGCACCGTTGGAGGCAGCGGAGGCCAGCAGGGGAGAGATCGCCGTACCGAATGGCAGCTGAGGAGAGACTTTGAACGGGTGCGACATCAACACAAGGGACTTGATCATGTCTCCTCGCACGAGGGCGCAGAGCGAAGCCACGAACGCCCCGATATCGTGTCCCACCAGGGTGTGGCTGATCTCATACCCAAGGGCGTGGACGAGCGTGACAACGTCCCGCAATGCAGTCATGCGACGGAACGAGCTTTCGCTGATAGAATTGAGATCCGCGTTGTGCGTGCGGCCGAAACCCCTCATGTCGAATGCTACCGCGTAGTAGCCGGCCTCGGCGAGCTTTGGCATCACGAAGCGTCAGTCGTAGGATAGGTTCGGGAAGCAGTGAAGGAGGAGAACCAACGGCGGGAGACGACTTGGGGATGCGGCGTCTGGAAAAGACTCGAGGACGTGGGATTTCAGTCCGACAGGGGACGTGTCGACATAACGTGAGGTGACGCCTTCAGGGAGGTCCCGCGAAGGCAGCTGAGTTGGGTCCATGTTGCGGATGTTTTGAGGTTGTGGGTGAATCGCTGAGGTCAGATTAGAGACATGCAGTTGAGCTGTTACCTTCTGCAGAAGGAAACTCTGTGGTAAAGTCTAATCTCCAAGTTGGGGGGATCCCTTCATTCATATGTTTAGCACCAGTAGTCACAGCGGAGGCTAAAATCTCATGTCAGTGGCTTCGCCGGAATGTCGGCATTGCCTAAAGCCTAGTGCTTGCAGATCAGTAGGTGTGTGCATGGCCAATGAAGACGAAACATCGCCCGTCATACCGATATCTCGGATTGATGAAGAAACATTAAGAAGAACCACATGGCCGGCTTGCGGGTGAAAGAGCCTGAGCTTCTGAGATCATGTACAAAGGAATGAATGGGTATCTTGCAGAACTGTCATACCTGAATTCAGAACCGACCTAATCAACAATTATTATTGGCTCTAGTAGCACTATAAAACCCCTGGATACAGTTCGTCACCCTATACTCTCTTTCTCTAAAGTATGCGCATAGATTTCGATGATTGGACCCATCGCTCTTCCATCAAGTTAGCAATGGAAACTATTTGAGTGTTGTTTCTGTTTCAACCACTCCTCAAGTTAGAAGACATGTATTCCGCGGCAGTTGCCTCAGTGAGTGTTGCTGAAGAGGGTATTGCAGCTGTTTTGGTTAGGTATGAGAGCGTCCAAGAGTTGTACCCTAATGTATTGTCACTTTGAACATGATGATGAAGAACCCAAAGTGATGCGCATCCTTTCGAGAGCTTTGTTATCCACGACAGGGAAAGGCAGCTTCCTCTGGTCGGAACTGGCTCTGAACAACTATTCCCCTAAGAAAGTTTATGTAGATTAAGTTTGGATTTAGGTTCCGCCCAAAAAACGGGTCTTGGGGATGTTCAGAGTTGCTGTGACTTGTGGTCCCAGCCGTCAACTTGCGCATGTTTGAACGTGATATATCAGACTAGAGTAGTATCTCCTTGGTGCTTGTAAGGTTGAACAATGGAAGAAATCGAGACAGTCGCCGTCAAGTCCAAATACCTTATCAGTGCTCTACTATGGAGAAGGTGTAAAGCGGCACTATTCAACTTATTCTCTAGACTATGCGTGAATCCGTGCCTGTATATGTCTAGCCTTACTGCGATTCGACGTAGTGATATGTGTGACACATTCAACACACCGACCGAACTATTAATAACCCATTAACAGTAGCCGCCATAACTGGCCGGCTACTTCTTGTTGGAAAATGGCAACAGAGGATTGGAAACGCACGCAATCTCAAAGTTAACCCATGCCAGGGCTAAACTGTTGCAGAAGAACAAGAACATATGGCGGTGGCTGTTTCCAAGGAAATCCAAGGTATAAGTAGATTACACTGACTCGACTTTTTTTGGTTTTCGTTGGCAAGCTGGTAGGTATGGCATTTGTCATTCGTGTAACATTGTGACCTGTGTGAAAGCAAAGTGGAGTACGCTACACTATAGGTGCATAATTCAAGCTTAAATAGGTTCATGGAACCTCTCTTTTCGTAATCAATCAACAGAGAGCCGCTTCGCACTCTCCATCAACTGTGATCGAGCACGCAATCATGCCATGTCGGGCCTTTCCGGAAGCCAATCAGGGAATGGCGACATCGGCGCCGAGGGACAGGTCCGACGCGGCCGAGCCGCCGAGAGACCCTGGTCAGATTACTGAGGTTTGATGCTGCAAATTGACGTCTTTACCTACCATCGATGTGTCTCCGACGCATCTCGGCAGCCATCTGATAGCGATTCGGCCTCGGTGTGGTGAAGTTGCAGCCGTTGACCCACAGTCGTTCGGCTTGCCTGCTTGCATTCCGGAAAGACACAATGGCATCCAGTGTGGCGCAATCACACACCATTGTAAATAAAATAATAAATTCGACCCCAGATGGCTGGTTGTAGCTCGGTAAAGAGTGGAAAAGACTATTCATTGCGTTTTTGAATGCTCTCGGCAAGTAATCAAGTCGAAACGTCAAGGGAAACATAACATGAAGTTGAGATATTAAGCCCTAATCAACAACCCAGCCTCAACAACACTCCATTTCTGTCGTAAACAACCTCTGGAAATGGCAGCTAAGATCCGCAGAGTAGCCGTTATCGGCGCCGGTCCCTCAGGTGCAATTGCAACAGATGCACTAATTAAGGAACAGGCCTTTGACACTGTCCGAGTCTTTGATCGGCGAGCCGAGCCAGGTGGCACCTGGTAAGCTTCAACTATGGCCCGCTGGCCGTATACTCCTGTTTTGACACTGCTATCCCTTTAGTTGCGAACCGACCTCACTAACCCCTAGGTGGACCCACACCTACTTTTACCCCTCACTTTTAAATATACATGATAATACATTAATTTAGAATATTATCTTGTTAGCAACTACTACCTATTTTAATATTATTAATAATGTTATTATTTAGATACCTTTATTTACAGCACTATCTATATAGAGGTTCTACTAGAAAACCTTACTATTGCTTACCTAGATAACTATATCCTAGAGTAATATAATAACGTAAATAATCTAGCTTAATAAGCCTCTAGTAGATCTAGGCCTACAGTAATAAAGGACCTAGTAAGGCTACTTAGACTATAATATATCTTTATATAAAAGTAGAGATTATTAGTACCTTTAGCATAGGTAAAACGCTATATATATAGAAGTAGCTTAAAACTATTAGCTTTTAGCGTTAATTACTGTGGCCTAATTTGCTCCTACCCCTCACGGGGGTTAGTGAGGTCAGTTCGCAATTAAAGGGATAGGGTATACACACTGCACTTGCCAGTGGGCATACCGTCACGGCGATCTCCGCTTGACGGGAACGCCAATCAGATTGAGCAGGCACTTGCCCCAGCCCCAGCCACTTTTCCGGAATAACTGGAAATACCGCATTCTGTCATGCAAACTCTGGGTAACTCTAACCCTAACCAGAATCCTAACTAACCCTAACCGCACTAACTATAGAGAAGATTTTATTCAGAATCGCCAGAATGTAGTAGACAGGATGGTTAGGGTTGGTTACGATTCTGGTAAGGATTAGGGTTAGTTAGAGTTCACGTGACAGAACGCGGTATTTCCTGTTATTCCAGGGGGCCGTCAATTTACCAAAACAGGGTCGTCATTCTACCCGTAACCGCAGTTTCTCATGGTCAGGCACTGAGTGGGTGCTCACCTTGAGAATGGCAGGAGAAGTTCGACGCGCTTGTTGTGGCTACTGGCCATTAAAACATTCCTTGGGTTCCAGATTGTGCATAACCACCCCACCCCACTTATGAATAACCACTCCACTCCACAAGGGTGGAGTATTTGACTACACTTACTTAAGAGCAATAACATAATTTTAGCATTATTAAACATGTAATCAAGTAGATAATGCATTGATTTCTTTAACCTTTTTTATATATATATCTATAATCAATTCTTTTCAAAGCACATAAAAGTAGTTAATGTAATATAATAGTAGAGTATAAAAATCACTAAGACATATGTTAGGCGTGTTATATAAATTTCTATATAATCTGAAGATACCCCGAATTGGTTGTGAATTTGGCGCAAAACATCACGCTTTTTAACAACCATATCTATCTCATCTTAGTAGGGAATTAATTACTCTTCTAGCAGAATGCTTTTTTTAACTCTCATATTTACTCTTTTTACTATTGGCGTTAGCGCTCATTACCGATGCTTGTATGAACTTCATTCATATACTTACAATTTTAAACTAACTTATGTCTAGTTGCTCAAATAAGGGCTCTTACTCGACAATCGCTACAATCAATGTTTGTAGGCAAGTGAATGGTGCCAAATTGATTATCAGCCGTGGTCGTCACGAGTGTAAACTATCAAACAAATACTCTTACAAGGGTGACTTCATAAGGGTAAGTTATAACTTAACATGCTTATATTACTACTAACATTTTATATGAAAAGGGATGTGTGTTACGTGAACGTGTAGACGGTGGATCCTGTGATGAGTGGCAGTCGCCTTTCTCCATTTAGGCTAACTGCTGGAATGTCGGGTGCCAGAGGGGGTGGCCTCGGAACGGGGTGACCGGGAGGGCACCGGGTGGGGGCCGGGGCACCAGCGGAGCAGGATAACGTTACACCGGGCGGTATTCTAGCATACTACTAATGATGCCCCTTCTAAAGAACTAGGACATATGTATGTCGGGATCAGTGCGAGTCAGTCCTTGGATGGAAACATATATAGCCCAGGCCAATGAAAAATCGCTTCGCCTTTGGTATCTTTGTGAGTCGCCTCGTATTTCTTGAAGGATTTGCATTATCTATTTGTAGCGCCCCCCACTCTACAGTATGCTTCACATGCCATTCATTTCACGTACATGTACCTTCAGATATCCATCATAAGCCTGATGTTCTAACATGAGACAATTGGAGCCGCAACAGACTCTAGATTGTTTGGAAGGCACCCGACAGCCAGGCCACGACCTCTTGCTGCATTCATGTTAGCTTGTTAGCTCGCTGTTGAGGTTTCTTTTAACAACCATCGCATCTCCGAATCTGGGATAATTAGGCCATTATCACATGTGATCTTACGTCCTGTGGTCCAACTTTGACCGGATTGAGATGGGTTCTAGAAGAAGCATTCGCTTTATTCTTCCAGGACAGAAACCGGTTTGAAAGAAGAATTCTTGCCCTTCGGAAAAAAATGGCTAACATTTTTCTACAAAAAGGGCTTTCTCTAGCTCTAGAGAGCTAGTCGAGGAGGGAGATACAAATTTTTTAAAGCTACCCAAGAATCATGAGACACCTGCAAACTTGAAAAATTGGCAATAAAACTAATATCTGACGTAAAAATACACAACCATTCCATAAAATGTAGCCATGATTTCACGGCGAACGATTTGTAGCACACTATGTGCTGAAGTAGCTGAGGTCTGGTGCTTAGCCTCTAAGGACACTATCTACCTGAATTACCGTCCATGTAGTAAGCGTCCCACGAAAACCAGTCAAATGTGGCATCA